TACTGTGGTGTCAGCTAGATTACCTAATTATTATATCTCCTTCTTTACTAAAACCGTCACAACACAACTATATCGAGGTCAGTGCCTAGTTTTGGCTATTAATAGCCATCATCAGGCAAATATATGGCTAACATATATACACCACTGAAATGCAGTACTAGTAAAATCGGTTACAATAATATTAATTATACAAAATACTTGATGTAAAAATACAATAAATTAGGTAATATAAAACAAAAGTTATAGTATAAAACAAGAATAAAATTCTTCGATTGATGCTTTACATCATCGAGTCATTTGTTGGTTTTTGTTATTTTGTTGTGTTCCCTCGGACAAGTTGGAGTATTCTATATTTATGTGTATATAAAAACTGTTATTGGAGGCTCGTGGTGTAGATGTAGTAATATTAATTTTAATTATTTAGTCGGTGCCTCATCTTACCAAGCACTGTCCGTTCTGTAGGGAATGTAAACAACAAACAGAACTAACTTTGCCAACAAATGGCGGTCACTTGGTCAGTATAGTTCGCTTGCGGACTACAGGCCATGGAGTTTTTTTTTTTTGGAGACAGAAGATAAAAGCTCCTGGATTGAATGGTAGCAAGCACTACCCAAAGTCAGCCTCCTCTTAATTTCCTCCTGAATCAAATCTCACTGAGATTTGGTTGCGCAACCAAACAGGGAACACACAACACGAGACACGATATAGTACACTGAGAGTAAGAGGAATGACTCCCATAGTGGTGGAACTATGCGCCGTGTTAGAATTGGGACAGATAAGATAAATAATCTTAACAAGTTTTTAGTATATAAATATTTATTATAATTGATGAACATTTTAAATCATTTTTAAATTTTACAATGACATAATGGTAGGCAATGAAATAGATTAGCGTAGATGGAGCACCTGATGATGGCACTATAGTGCCGAAACATGTTGTGAAATAACAAGTGAAATTGAGTGCACTAAAAGACGGACACTGCATGCATATCATGGACAACTGATGGTTGCCTGATGATGGCCTTGTGAGGCCAAAACACGATGCAACAAAATAGAAAATGTTATTTTAACGACATTTTATGAATTCTAAATTTGATTATAAATGACACATGACATGTGTTTGCATCATAGACGGAAGTTAAGGAATGAGTTGTTTTATATACTTTGTACTTTTCCCCATACACCAAGGTTTTTCTATATCTGGATGCAGTCTAATCTCCTTTCTTATATTTATTCTGTAAATAATTTTGTGACAAAATCTAAGACCAAGACATGGTCAAGTGACTTCTTTTATTTTGTGAATGACTAACACTTCTTAAAGACAGTCTGTCAGTTTCCTGTACACTGTGATGTACAATCACCCCACAGATTCCAGGCAGTGAAGTGTGGGACCAGAGTACAATACATCACATTCAGAAATCAGATTTAGTACATGCACACGCACAGAATGCTCTCTCACACAGTTCACTTCATTGGTTTTCAGTTTGTAATAGTTCTCTTCATCACTACTATACTACCATAATTCCAAACAGCCTTCACCATTAATCACTACAACGTATCACCAATTCAGACTCACACCCAGCCAACAGTTCATTCACTCATTTCATTTATTTATTTACTGCAGAAGCTGAAACTCATATCTTATAAAGAAATTGTTCTCAGTATTTTATAACTTAAGATTATGAGAATAAAAAGTGACTTTTTTTGCAACAGTCCATTTCGTGTGTCTCTCGACTTGAGTTGCATAATAATTATACAAATGCAAATGTTAGTGGTTTTAAAAAATGTTTCATGCTCTCAATATGTAGAAGCTTGAATGAAATGACAACATTGATCCAATACATTCAAGAGAGTAACAGCATAAAGAATATTAACCTTTAATGTTTATATAGAATGTATGAAGAAAATGTCTGCACAGCAGTGTCAGGTTCACATGTGTGACCATACCGCAGACACTGTACAGCTTAATGTTTATTCTGTGTCTCACATTCATCTGTAGATTTCTACTTCGCTGGGATGAATGTGAGAAACACAATGCTATAGCATGCATTGCTCCCAACATCATATTACAAATGCTGGTTATTAGAACATGCATAAATTTAATATATACATTGTACATATATTTGAACAAATGTAATATTTAATTCGAAAAAGAATTCTTGCAGGACCAGCAGGGCATTTGGGTCAGAAACTTACAGGTAATTCCATGTAAACATGTAGCTACATCCATCACTACACAGTAATATAAACACTTATAATGGAGCAAAACTAACACCCTCATCAGTTTATCCTGAAAGTGCACAAAAAGCTCTCACAGCTTTTGTTGCACTAACACACAACGGAGTAAGAACCTCTGCAGTACAAGATATCAGGTTGCAACATTATTTATCTGGAGAAAGTTTCCCACCAGTGCCTGTAAAATATGAACATTTCATTTACATCGATTATTAATTCTAGCAATACGTGTAAACCAGTGATTTTGGAGGGAGCAGTAAAAAAATGCTGGTGGTATAATAGCATACTTTCTTACCGACAGGGCTGGTGGTAACATAGCATACCCTCTTACCGACAGAGCTCTCGGCACTAGCGGAAGCTATTTTGTAAAAAGAGAGTGTCCGCTGGATGGCGGCGGCAGTGAAGCTACATGACGTAAGGTTGGCTATGTTGTCCGCTAATAGAATTGAGTGACCGTGAGTGACCACCCCCTGATCTTCCGTTATCTGTGGAGGATCCTTCGGCCAATAGAGAAGAGGAAGGGGCCGACTTAGGTTATGTTAACTTGAGTGGAGATTACAGGATTTTAATTAATTAATAATATTCGGTAATATATGTTTGTAATTTAAAAGCTTAATGTGCATACTGTGATGATTTTTTTATATGAATTTCTTCTGTAAGCACGAGATCAGGGTAGTTTACAAATATTGCTCATCATACATCTTCATGGATATATAAATTTGAGTCATATAGACGACATAGACTCTTATTAGAAGTGCAGCTGCAGTTCTGCAGTTGGGGTGTGGTTGAACGTGTCTGTGCTTGAGCTCCGAGGTGCTTGTAAACGTAAGCCCGTCATTGTGACCGAATGAATTAACAGACTCACAGTTAGTATGCTGTGGAATGAAACATATATATATATAATGTGATGACAAAGATATAGATGTTGATTTTATGTGTAAAATAATGAATACTTTTTTGATTTGTTTCATTCTGGTCCATCACACTAATTTATGAAAAAGTTAAAATAGTTCCGTGAAAACAACACAGCGGGCCACAAACAGATACAGGACAACATTAAAGAACCGTCTTCTCGAGAACGACAAGGTGGCATACATTCGGCCCCCGTCAAAAGAAATAATAAGAGGGACGACACAAACCAGCTTGGTTTACGATTCCAATAGAATCTTAACAAACTATCTAAAAATATTTTAATGTATTGGAACAGCCGCTGTAGTTGTAAAGACTTTAGATTTTACAACCAATTGTATATTATTTATATTGTATGTATATGTTTTAACTTTTAGAACATGTACTGTAATGGTGGCTTCTAACAGTATTGATGTAAAGGTGTCCATCTGAAGATGGTCGCTGAAGAACGAAACATGTAAGGGCATGAATAATTGAAATAAGAAAATCTTAACTAGTCACACTGGATGGAACTATTTAACTTTTTCATAATGAACACTCTTATATTCGTGTTAGAAATTGAGAATTTGAAGTATGCCATTGTGGGATCATATGTTGGAGAGAGAGAGAGGGTTTAAATGATTCATTATTTGTTAGAAGAAAGAAGGAAAGGTAATTGGTCATAAATGTGTAAATTTATTAATACGGAAATAATGAAATGCTCGGAATTACAATGTCAATGTTGTGTAGGATTAAACTTGGAAGTGAGTAAGATCACAATGGAATTGGAATCTGCTCTAAAAATTATAGAAATTTTGAAGGAAGAGCTGGGCAGTGCGGTTGCATTGTCTAGTGCTAATAAAAGTGTCATACAAAATAATGAAAATGGATCTCAAATATGTCCAAGTGAAAAAAACTGGATCCAAATACAAAGAAATCAGCAAATGAAGATAACAGATAAGTTAAAAGACCACGAGGAAACATATGTAACAACAAGTAATCATTTTGAAATTTTATCTAACCTCAGTGAGGTTATTAAGTCTACTGAAGCAACAAAGGAAGAAATTCTCAAACCAAGTAAAACTGTACAAAATAATATCAACAAAAGTAATTTTCAAGCAAGAGACAGTAAATACAAGGCTGATGCAAAAGGACAGATGATTAATAATATTTCAGTGATAATAAATGGTCTAGTAACATCTAATAACAATAAAGTTCTGAACAGTGACATCTTGCATTCATATGACGGTGAGGAAACCGTTGAGGCTAATGCAAGGAATAAGAAAGAGGCTCCCAAGGAGAAAGTTGCTGTTCAGCAGCAAGTGCTTCAAAGAACAAAGGAAACCACACTATATTAATTATTGGAAACAGCCATGTAAGGAGATGTGCAAGTAAACTGAGAGAAAATCTTGATAAAACTTATAAGGTAATTGCAATTATAAAACCAGGAGCTGATTTATTTACCTTAAGTAATTCTGTAAAAGATACTATTTTAACCTTAGGAAAAAATGATGATCTTGTATTTAGTAGAGGTGCAAACGATATCTCAAAAAATAATTCTAAAATGGGACTAAGACAGATTTTAAACTTTATAAGTAATAATACTCATACTAATATTATTCTGTTAGGTATACCACATAGACATGACCTGGCAGATTGGTCTTACGTAAATAATGAGATAAATGCCTTTGATAGGAAACTGTTTAAAATCATGAAATGTCATGAACATGTCACAGTAATGAACTGTGAATTAAACAGACACTTCTTTACAAGACAAGGTATGCATCTGAACAGGAGAGGAAAAGAAGATATATTTAAACATATAGCAGCAACCTGTGTGACAGTTTCTCAGTCTAATAACAATTTGACCCCAATTTGCTTGCTCTGGAAGGAATCTGAAAATTATAATGCAAATGATACTAGTTTGTTAGTTAAAAGTTCAAACTATGATGATCTCTGTGTAAATATAAACAACACTTTTCATAGTATAAATGAATGGTTCAAAGTAAACCAACTTTCTATAAATTTTGACAAAACCCACTACATTCAATTTACAGCTAGAAATAGTAACCCTAAAACTGAAATAAAAATAGAAGTTTTACATTTTGTTGAAATTAAAAGTGGATCAAGTTTGAAACCATACATACAGATTCACATGCAAATCAGAACCTGTTTTTTGATGCTATTCATGTAATTGTTTCAGGCCTGTGACTCACCAGCATGAGACCTCAAGGGACTTGTCTGCCATAAGAGCAAGGAGCTGTTGCTGTGCATTCGTAGCAAGCAAGTTACAGCGTTTCTCTGACATCCATTTTGCTGCTCTATCATCCATGCTTGGCTCTTTCAGATAGCCTTTTCTCTTGAGGTTATGCCATAAAAATCTGGGCATGTCAAGACTGAAGCGAAAATCTGTGTATGTCAAGACTGAAGTGAAAATCTGGGCATGTCAAGACAGAAGTGAGAATCTTTGCATGTCAAGACTGAAGTGAAAATCTGAGCATGTCAAGACTGAAGTGAAAATCTATGCATGAAGTGAGAATCTGAGCATGTTAAGACTGAAGTGAAAATCTATGCATATCAGAGCAGAAGTTAAAATCTGTGCATGTCAAGACTGAAGTGAAAATCTGTGCATGTCAGGACTGAAGTGAAAATCTGGGCATGTCAAGACTGAAGTGAAAATCTGAGCATGTCAAGACTGAAGTGAAAATCTATGCATGACAAGACTGAAACATGGCAGGAAGATAATATTACAATATTACAGGAAGAAATATCAGTTTGATGTGTGCCGCCATGTCAGACTGATACTTATTTGTTCGACAAACTGCCTCTCTTGCTTTACTATGTTTGCATGTAGGAGGATAACACATATGCATAATATCATCTGACTTTGTGTTTTGCTTTGATGCTGTCTGTGTGCGGCATCGGTTACTATTCACTTGCTATTCTTTGTTGCCGCTACATGTTTCGGCCTAACTGATGGTCATCAGGTGTACAGACTGTTGTGATCATAGAACCTGCTGCTTACCGTGATGCTGTTCTGTTTCTGTAAATGTAGAGGACTCGGATTGCATCTGGTTATGTGGGTTAGTCATCTGTTTTTTGTTTAGGTGTCCTTGAGCTGCTGGTGTTTGCTTCATGGTTTTGTTTGGCTGTGGCTGTCTTGAATGTTCTTGCTGGGGCAGGAATTTGTTTTGTTGATGGCCAGCTAGTGCACAACAGACATGGGCAGCTCAAGGACACCTAAATAAACAACAGATGGTTAACCTAGATGCAATCCAAGGCCCCCACATAACAGAAACAGAACAGCATTACAGTAAGCAGCAGGTTCCTTCATCACAACAACCTGTACACCTGAAGATGACTGTCAGTTAGGCTGAAACATATAGTGATGACAAAGAGAAAACTATGAGAGAATAGTAACCGATGTGTAACACAGATGGCATCAAAGCAAAGTGCAAAGTCAGATCTAAGCAGTGCAACAGGATGCGGCAATATAACATTATGCCTGATATCAGTTTATGTGAAATTCATTCATGGTCTTCTGGCTTATGGCATGGTTACCAAAGTTTTCTGCTGGTCTGTTGAAGCCAGGGGCAGTATGTTCGCTGGTAACCATCTACCAAGCAACACACTGTCATAACTTAGGAGACCAGAATAAGATTTTTCACCATTGTGAAAGATTTAAATCTGATAATGTGTAAACTTGTTTGTATATTCAAATCTGGTGGATACTGTAAGGAAGTAATCACTAAATCACAGGAGTTCTGTTTTTCCGTATAAAGAAAAGAACTTGAGAGGTAAAGTTATCCCTGTAACAGGCTGCGGAGGCCCCTAGGGTTGTCAGATGTCGAGGGTCCCACATTTTCTCTAGGCATTCAGCTCAAAAATGGCAGGAAGGTTGTCAGCCTTATGCACTGGCCACCCTTAACCCCCCCCCAGGAAGTTTGCTGGTACTCATTTCTGTTAGAGGTCAATTACAGACACTGCACAGTGTAGATAAAAGTAATTGCATATGCCAAGACAAAAACACCACCATCCAGTGTGACTGTTTAAGTTTTATCATTTGAAACTCATCACCCTTACATGTTTCGATCCCTATGGATCATCCTCAGAGGGCATCAATACTTTTTCCGGAGACTACTATTACAATAGGTGTTAAATTATATACATACACATATATTGTCTGAAATACACAATGTACACAATGTTCATCCTTTCACAGTCACAGCAGCCTTCCTGGTATTAAAAATTTTAAAGTTTTTTAAAAACTTTTTGTTTAAGAATAAAATTTATAAGCCATGCAGGTCCATGTCAATTCTCCTATTGTCTTTCTTGTAGGTGGCTGAGCTTGTGCCGCCTGTCTATCTTGAGAGAGGAGATTCTTAGTATTATCCGTGTTTACTCTTGGCTTGCTGTGTTGTTTGCTGTGTAATGATAGCATGACAAAGCTGATATTCGTGGCTCAGATAATTTAGCATTTTCTGTGGCAGAACTGTGTCTCTATTCCCATTGTTGTATGTTGCAGTTCTCACAGGCAACATGCATTTTGATGGAGTGTGATATGGGAGTTCCATAATGAAACCTGTCTAAAGCATTATATCAGCTTCCGCTTTGGTTGGTCTAAATCACTTTCATGTATGACTTACAGAAGTATTAGAAGATACAAACATTTGGTAAAGTTTTAGTTGATGTGTAAGATGACTCTGTATGCTTGCACCGTCTCTTTTGCTAGTTTTTATCGAATAAAGTACAGCCAATGATGCCTCTTTCCTGAAACTCGTCCTGTAAACTATGGCTCTCATATCTGCATACAGTATCAGCATGTGACAATTTGGATTAATTGATGGGCTTTTCTGAACACCTGGTAACTTGAAAAAGTGTTGTCTTCTTAGACGTGAGGCCTTGTAGACTGGTAGAATGTTACCACCATTTTGGAGGAACATGCAAAGTGATAAGACCCTGAAGATGGAGGCCTCATATTCGTAAGAAATGTTGGTAACATTCTACCAGACTACATGGTATCACATCTCAGAAGACTGAAATCTTTGTGGTTACAGCCAAATTCCTATGGAAGATCTTAGCCGAAGACTTGTTCGCTTAGAGAGTATACATTGTAATTGCACATACAGGGAATACACAGTCATGAGTAGATAACAGTTGGTTTTGATACGTAAGTTGCTGTCTGATTGCAGAGGTAATAGTAAGTATAAATTGGATAGGAACTGCTGCAGCTTTGGGGGTTGGGTAGGGGGTGATGTTAAGGCATTTTTCTAATTGGTACAGTTAGAAATTTCTTGGCAGCTAATTCCTCAATACTCTGACAAGCCATAGTGGACAGTTTAGGCATCGTATTGATGTAGAATTCTGTAATGTAAGTGTATGGAAGTATGACTGCCATAACTTGGCTAAGGTAAAGACGGATGGGTTGTAGCACAGTGAAAGCAATATGAATCATTTTGTTGAATTGCAACGTCATCCATAGAATGTTTGACAGTTTAGGACTTTACACTGTTGCAAGATATTTTACATTAATTGTATCCAAAAATTATATACACTGAAGCGAATATAAACATTCTGATGTATGTGAGGCTGTTTGGATCCTTCTGGGTGGGATATTTGTAATTTATTTTAATAAATACTCTTCAGAGCTGATTATGTCTTTGCTTCATGTTTTAGGAGAACCTGTTACGTGTACACCCTAAGGATGTCTATAGATAAGATGACACATGTAAGGGGAATTAAGAATTTTATGCACATTGTCAAGGGTTTTATTTGATAGATCCATACAGGTCAGTCGACTCCTCTGATGCAGGAGAGATTGATGCACTACGAGCCTTGCGTTGTCACAGGAAAATGCGGATCAGTATGGGCAGAACATTAATGTCCTGAACAGAGTTTGAGGTCACCTGAGACTGTATTCATCTATGACAATGCAGCCAACTAGTTCAGCCTTCATCCTCTCTGATACATATTTCTGCTTTACAGTGTGCTGTCAGGAAGGACTGGAATTGAATGACCCAAACTGAGTGCTGATGACATTAATACAACCAATAAAGAAATAAAAACAAGTAAAGTTATCCCTGTGCTCAATGCAGTACCACACTCAGAATATGTATAGGGTATAAATAAAATGAAGTATATGAGAACACACAAAACATCTGCCATAAGAGTGACATTGTAAATGCAGTTAACAAATAATTTGAAAATATTTAAGAATTTTAATGTGTGAGATGAATAATAATAAAAAAAAATTGGATTAGGAGTAAATTCTGGAATTGTCTTTTTATAAAAACACCTCTCTTGAATACTTCAAAACATTAAAATTCAGTAGCATGTTGAAAGAATACATGTTGGTAGTGTTTATACAGGTAAGTAAAAATGCTTTCACTTTGATGCATAAAACGCTGCAGTCACGTTCCCTGTGGACATGAACTTGGAACCTTCAGAAGGTAAGTTCACTGCCTCGTTCCTGAGACCCACACATCTACTGGTTGAATTTGCATATAAAATGATGTGCAGTGAATTTACAACTATCCTCAGAGCCTGGTCAGAATAAATCCTTACAAGACCAGTCATGTTACATGACAATATGAATGGTATTTATAAAGATCAAGACTGGATGTATCAAACTGTTTAACCTGTACTGAATACAGCAGTCATGACAAACATTCGCTCAGTGGTAAGGCAGTTGGCTTGTATGCACCAGAACATGGGTTCAAGTCCATGTGGAATGGGAATAGAATGAAGTAACGACTCATCATGAAGGGGTGGGGCCAAGATAATATACATGTAGTCAGTGCTTAATGTACAATTTGCAGGTAGAGTAGGAAATGCAAACAAAACCCTGTACTTTTTGTTCCAGTAACCTACAACCTTCAAGAACACAGCACTGCCGCAGCCCCAAGCTTTCAGCCTGGGATTTGATAGTTTGGCTGCAGATGTAGATGTATTTCTGAAGATTGGGATGCAGTAGCCAATCAGCATCAACGGTCAGAGCCAAGTTAATAGGCATGAATCTAGTGCTAACTGCAAGAAATGTAAACAAACCTCTGAACTGTCTGAACTTGTAACCTCAAAAATACCTTCAAGAGTACATTTATAGCTACAGGATTACTGAGCAGTGTTGCAGATGAACGTTTATGTGTTAGACAGAATATGAGGATAATCTCTGCTAGATTCACCATCTGTTCAAGCCACGTTCAGTAAGCTCTCTTAATTTGTGCTGAAATGCCTGCTCTGGGAAAATCATTTATTCTGTATGTCTCCTGTGAGGCATCAGCAGACTGGTTGACCACAACCACTTTAATCTCAGGGCTAAAGCACAATTTCCATGTGCAGCAGCCCCTAAGTTCGCTCAAGAGGTTTCATGAAGATACTTTTCATCCATTACTCTACTTGGTATTGGGTGTGAAGCTTGCTTTCAGTGTAAAGCAGATGAGCCAAGTGGATGAGTACTGACCAGTTGGCTTGCAAGAATGGCTAATTGAAGAAATGAAGTTCATCCTCATACCCTATCTAGGAGATAAATGTTCAACTGTGGCAGTGATGTTTAATCCTCATCAGAACGTTCACAGCTTTGGCTTGAAATGTGCTCTTGAAGGTTTTAGAGGTTATAAGATCAAAACAATCAGGGTTATATCATTTCTTGTATCTTCAAATATTTGCATTTAGCACTACATTCATGTATTTGTACAGAGACTTGGCCCCTGACCATTGATGCTTAACTGGCTACTCATTTTTCGGAAATAAGGCAACATCTGCGGGCAAATGCCCAGAGCTGCAACAACTCTTGTGTTCTTGAATGCCCTTGAGGGTTATTACATAAAAAAATTACGGGTTTTATTTACATTTCCTATAAATAGTGAAGTAAGCACAGAATTCATGTGGACTTATGTGTCCCCGCCCCTTAATGTTGGTTGGTTCCTCAGTCTACGTCATTGGGGGGGGGTACGATGATCACACCTCTGCCCTCCCCCGAAGGCGTGGTTTCGCTTACTTTTCCCACTGAAGTGGCCCCGCCCCTTAATGCTGATTGGCCACTCATCAGTCATGGTCGTGTAACTTCCGCATGTTCGTGTTCCTGCCGCGGGGCATCGGAAAGTACCGGGTTTTTGTTTACATTTTGCCGCGGTGCATCGGAAAGTACGTGGTTTTTGTTTACATTTTGCCGCGGTGCAACGGAAAGTACCCTGGTGATAACAAAAAGTTCCGGGGTTTGTTTACATTTCTTGCTGTATGCACAAAATGTGCTCAAATACTGTCTTGCTCCGGGTTTTCCAAATAACCTTCGGGTTTTCAGAAAAACCTTCCGGGTTTTCCAAGTAACCGGGTTTGTTTACATTTCTTGCTGTATGCACAAAATGTGCTCAAACACTGTCTTGCTCCGGGTTTTCCAAATAACCTCAGGGTTTTCAGAATAACCACCAGGTTTTCCAAATAACCGAAGTCCATTAAAACGAAAAAGTACGGGATTTTTAAATTTAATTCATTTGCGATCAATACTGTGCTCCTGAAGGTTGTTCAAGGTACAAGGTTTTCCTCATAAAGGAAAGCCATCAAAATAAAAGTACCGGGCTTTCCTGCTAACCGAAGACCATTAAAACGTGAAGTACCGTTTTTTTCTTTCATTTTATTCCTGATTGCCGAAAGTTTGCTCAGCTTCGTCCATAGCATATGTAGTGTGGTGAAATATGAAAGAAAAAGAATCTTCCTGTGGGTGGTGCATCTTGAATACTTTACACATTACCCATAGACAACTGCTGTCATCCTTGTTAATAGCAGCAGTAGTAGTAGCAGCAGCAGCATCGTTGCAAAATACTCATATTTGTAACCGACTTACCTGTAGGAATGTTTTAACAATACATCAATCATGGATCAATAGGTTCTGGGGAGCATACACAGACAGCAATGTGATCTCATAATCGTGTTTCAAAGGAAAAAAGCTGTGACATAAGCTGATAATATATTTCTGGGCTATCAGCCATGTCTGATGATGGGGAGAGACGTTTCCTGCGACATCTGTGATACTTAACCAACTGACATGGCTGAAAGCCAAAGCAGATTTCATCCACTGTAGCTGCCATGAAAGCTTCATATCTTGTGTTTGACGTGAGGTTTACACTGTAGTTAAAAGGTAAAGCAGGGTAGTTTTATTTCAAATGTACACAGAATTTGTTACATGTCACAGGAAATTGCAAATGTGACTAGCCATACATGAATAGATAGCTTATAGCATTTTTTTAAATGTGCATGCTGAAATTAATGACTCCTGATTTCTTTTCCATAACAGCAATTTCATTGAAACAGAAATGGCTACCTTCCTTGAACTTTGTTCCCTAGGTTATACAATTACTTCTCAAACAAATATTTCTGCAGTCCAGCCACAGCTGACATATTTCATGTACAGGTATTTGTCAATTAATGCACTAGTTGTGTTCCCAAAAGGAGTCACAGGGGGTGCAATGACATAAATTACATCAGGCAGGCCGAATTTTCTATCTCCCTTTGCATTCCTGCTCCACACTTGTGCAGCATCCTAACCCCCCCTTTCTTCTAACCTCTCTTGATGGGCCAGCAAGCAGTTCATACTAAAGAGAGTGTTAATAGGTCTAAATTAATTGACTGCATTAAAATGAAACAACATATTTCTAACTTGCATATACCAAGGAGTACCTGTACTTCTGTAAGTGTGGCATGACAGAACTACATTTTCACCACTGTCTTATGGAGGCATTACTTTTCAACATACCCGTCCAGGATGAATGTTGCTAATAGCAAAGCCCACCAGTGGACACATCATGATCCACAGTCTTATACTCAGTTTTGTCAAGATGTGGTTTGATATCTTCCTTCCACCACTTTTGATTTCCCAAGTGGATGCTTTCCAGCATGTTCCAACAAAAATATTGTATGTATTCGTGTTCCCCCATCTCAGCTACAAGTCCTTGATGCAACTTTCCTGACAAAACTGGAAAGCTGTATAATCATCAAGTTCCTTGGTGGGGACGTTGCGTGCTATAACACTGTGTTGCAGTCTGGCAGGCACACACCAGGGTTCTGGCGAAACACACCATGCTACAGTCTGATAGGTGGATATTAATGTTCTGGTGGAATGTGTGCCTCCAGCTTTAGGATGACTCCAGATATCAGACATTTAGATTACGTATGTACAGATGTTTGACCTGTTCCCATTCATGAATAATATGCATTGAAGCGTCATGTTGTGTTTGCAGTCACAATATGAAATCAGGTCATCCACAAACAGCAGTTTCATTTGGCTGATGATACGGGATATGATACTGTGTAGGTTGGTAGAAGTTTAATGACATTTCAGAGGAACACACTGCCTTCAGCTTCAATTTTCCATCCTGAAGATGGAGGAAGTATATGTCTGCAGTGTTGGTAAAAACAAATTACAGAGCATTACATTTCAGGAGACGTAGCCTCAATAATACTGCTGAAAAGTCAGGATGTGATAGAATGTATGTAGCAGAAGTCTACCCTTATGAAGGCAGCGTTACGTTCCTCCAAAATGTTGGCAGACTCCTACCCACTTATACAACGTCACTCCCAACTTCGTCATGATCACTGCCATGAATATCTCACATCTCACATGTAACACTGGTGTTTGTAGATGACTGTACTTCCACTTATGAACAAGAAATATTGGCACACTACAACACTACAGTAATTGTGCTTTACTGAATAAACTGAACTGTGATCAGTTCAGACGAATTACATTACATAAAGAAATCAATTCTCAGAGCGTTGTTTGAATGAGTCTTCATCACAGTAGTGAGTTTGTTAGGAAATCTGTACAAATTAATAAATGGCAAGTCTACCACTACAACCATTTAAAGCTATTGGCCTGACGCTTCAGTGGCCCTGCCTGGGCTCCAACTGCATGTGGCCACCTCAAGTTTACAGTTAAACTTTTAGTGCATTCAAATACATTATGAAATTAAAACATTTCTATATCATTTTTCCTAAAGCTGATATACATTTAAATACTACACCAAGTGAAACTATTTTATTGTACCTTTCTCAACATGATACTGACTAATAAAGAAACAAAATCTTCAGTTTCTTTTGATAGGTGTGTCATACCTTCTGTTTGAAAACCATTTACTGAAAAATTAATCACCTATGGTGAGGATAAATAGTAATGACCATCAGTAACCATAAGCAGACTGCTCTGAGTGAGAATGTTAGAAACTAAAATCAACTCCACACATAATTCCAACCTTGCAAGTAACCACACTAACTGAACAACACATTCTGCATGCACCTAACGGAGTAGGTGTACATATTTGAAATTATATTCCCTATTTCATGAAGAAATACACAAATGTAACAACTTTTGTAATAATGTGATTTCAAGTTAATTTCTATTAAAACTATTTCTATTAAAAGACCAAAACATATTGAAACTATCTTAAATAATTAGGTGGCTGGAATGAATGTTGCTGAGGATATCAGTTATACATTACTGATATCAAGAAAATGTAAGTTTGGGAACACCTGGAGTCTGTCTGTGTACCTTCTTATGTGAAGATTAGTAACACATCAGGATTACAATTCAGACTTCAGATAATGTCCAGCATTGACTTATATATTCATTTTTGGTACAAATCATTATCACCACCTCCAAGAAGATGCCTTAAGATCAGTCTTACACAGTTTCATGACCTGATATTACTATTGGCCAAGTCTTGTGTGTCTTTCAAGTTTTCATATACCTACAGAAGACACTTCATCATCTGCATGTGGATTAAACACAGGACTTCTATAACCATATATAAGATTTTTAACCACTGTCCATTGTAAATAATTAAAGCTGTTTTCAATTCTTCATCCTTTATGTTCCAGTTAAAATGACCATCTTCATAAGGCTATTATCAACACATAAGGAAACTACTGTTACCATGTCATACTTACTGTATATATGTTATGTCTTTTAACTAATACTAAGATGTACAGTGATTTGTTAAAACATCTAAAATTATTACAGAAGTGCAACAACATGAACCAAATTGATTCTAGATTAAAACAAATACTGAACATTATTTTGTAAACAGACTAATTGTAATAATTTTTAGATGCTTATCAAATCAATGTACATCTTAATATCACAGAACTATAACGCTTATTTTGGACTCTATTCATCATCTGGTATATATAAGACAAAAAACCACAACGTTTCAGAGACTGGATCTCTCTCCGTCCTAAGGTGGATGGGGCAAGATAAACCTACTCAGTTAGGCCTGTTAGAAAGAGCTAGTCTCAATCAATCCAGTGATTGAGACCACAAAAAACCACAACGTTTCGGAGACTGGATCTGTCTCCACCCTCAGGTTGATGGGGCAAGATAGACCTACTCAGTTGGGCGCATTAAAAAGAGCTTGTCTCAATCACTGGACCTTGAGATTTGCACCTCATCAGAAAGGTTATGTGATTCAGGGTTTTTGCCAACTGGAATTTTAGATGTTCTAGTTTCCTAAAAGAAGGGTATATACCGGGTCCATACCGGTTACACAAATAGACTTTAAAGGATTCTGACAATGGTGTATGCTGTACAGAACTATAAGGATTATTTTGGACTCTATCCATTGTCTGGTATATATATGACAAAAAACCACAACATTTCGGAGATTGGATCTGTCTCCATCCTCAGGTGGATGGGGCAAGATAGACCTACTCAGTTGGGCCTATTAGAAAGAGCTAGTTTCAATCAATCCAGTGATTGAGACTAGCTCTAGTAGCTCCATCCACCTGAGGATGGAGACAGATCAAGTCTCTGAAATATTGTGGTATTTTGTCTTATATATACCAGATGATGAATAGAGTCCAAATTAAACCTTATAGATTTGTACAGCATACACCATCGTCAGAATCCTTTAGTTAAAAAGATATTACATTTATATCTATGGCACGCAACAGTAGTTTCCATATGTGTTGATTATACCCTTCTGAAGATGGTCGTTTTGACTGGAACATGTAACTGATGAAAAATTTAAAACAACTTTTATCAATCACACTGGACAGTGGTTAAAAACCTTATATACAGTTACTAGTGTGATGGACCAGGATGAACAAAGTTACTTTTGTAAACCATTACAAATGTTTCAGAGATATATCAGTGGTGCTTTACAATGATTTGCAGTAGACTGTACACCTTCTGATTCTGTTGCTTGCATAATTTTACAGCTTTTCATACTGACCTACAACTGAACAAGGGTTTCTTTCTTCCCTTGGAAGGATACAATATTGCTATTGCAATCAAGAAAGGCCAAACATAATTACTTCATGTCTGATTTAGCATAGAGGCTGTTCATCTGGCTCAAGTCCTATAAGCAAGCAACTAATCACTAGAAATTGTACTTTCCAGCTTACAGGTGCCAACAGGTTACCTAAGGAAGCAGGAGAACCACTGTACTCATTTGAATGTGACATGAACTCTGTGGCCTTCCTTCCAGTACACATAGGCACTGTTGGCAGCTGCAAGCTGTGTCTTATTTAAAACAGAGATGATATTCCAGACAGTAAGAAACATTAAAAACATAAGTCTACGCCAAAGTTCAGAGTTGTTGCCAGCATATTTCATGAAGAATTTGCAGTTTTGTTTTTGAGATGGTTGCCCTGAAAAAGAAAGAAAGAAAGAAAATGTAGTAATGCTCGTGTTCCGTGCCATAGCTCAAGTGGTTAGACGCTGGCTTCCCATTGTGGTGGCCCATGTTCGATCCTGGATCTGGTCAAGTTGGATGTGTGGTGGACAAAGTTGTGCTGGGTCAGGTTTTCTCCGAGTACTTCAGTTTCCCCTGCCAATCTTCATTCCACCAATTGCTCCACAATCACCCTCACCTATCATCTGGGGCTGGTACAATAGGCCAGAAATGGCCACAGTACAAGGGACTTAGTCCCACCCCACTAGCAATAAAAAAAATGCCCATGTTAAACTTTAAGATTTCACAAAAACCTCACATGGTGATTTTCTTTTTGAAAATAAAATTTCATATTCTGCATCAAAAACAGAAATTTTTATTAAAGCTTCACAGTACCAAGGAGGAAAATCTTATTAATTAATCCATCATTAAAACGACACTTTATAGTGTACAGTCTACAAATTATAACAAGACAAGTGACATGCTCAGAGAAAAACAAATATATATACTTTGCAGCAGTATAATCACCATGTGACATTACTGACATTACTACATGGCTTCCCATCTACTCAGCCTTTAAGTTAAAGCTATGAATTACTGTTATTTGCAATGTCAAGATTAGACAAATTTTGAACTGAGTTCACTGGATTCTTCTAGTAATATGTGTTCTTGTGTCTAAGTCTGTCAGTTAATGAATACAATTTTTTTAATTAGAATGGTTGTTCTTTAGAATGAATGCAGACAAAAAGCATACTCATGTCTGTTTACCGCCACTAAGGACCACGAATGGAGACTGCATTTCTTTCTGTTTCTGCTGCAAGAGGCTATGCGGTCCGAGTGAGTGTCTGTTGAGCTCATCTGTTTCATCAACTGGAAGAAGAAGAAGAAGAAGAAGAAGAAGAAGAAAAAAAGAATTTATTTCCTTCAGATGGGGCACAGTCTGTTTGCACTTAAACATTCTGTAATATCTGCAGCTCCTGTCACTGATTATCCTAAGAGTTGGCTAAAAAGTTTAAGTGAGTCTGCTGCTTGAAGTCACCAATTTCCAACCCATGGTCTGTGTTTATGTCTGCTACCCTAATGACAACTGAACAAATATGCTGTGTTTTATGAGCAGGCTCCACCTGACTTGCCACAAAGTTGCAGTATTCACTTCTGTCCCAGGACTGAAGCTACTGTGTATGTTTGTAGTCAGCAGAAAATGAATGCACAAAAAGTGTGGATGGATAACTATCTGCTATGTGGAATCGTGGACATGTAACGATAACTACAATTTGATTCCTTATGGAGCACCATTTAGAAATAGCATCAGACGGGTTCACAGTCTCACGTGCAGCACGTCCTTCTATAGAATTTTCTAGAAGTTTTTCAGTACATTTTTTGACCTATAAGGTCACTGTCGAGTGTTTTAAAATTATAGATTATAAATGAGGAAATTGCTGTGCTTCCATATTGTGGTTGTTGGTCGTCACTATGCGGTCCCTTCTATGTGCATGTATATATGAAGTGGCGGGTTGACCTGCCTGTTGTGTTATGCTGCATGTCCCTCTTGCACTGCATAACACAACAGGCTGAACAACCCGCCACTTCATAGAAGGGACTGCACAGTGATGACCAACAACCACAATATGGAAGCACAGCAGTTTCCTCATTTATAATTTATAAGTTTAAAACACCTGATAATGACCTTACAGGTTGAAATATGTAGTGAATAACTTCTAGAAAGTTATATAGAAGGACATGCTGCATGTGAGACTGTGAAACAATTTGGTATTAAATGAAGTGCAGCAAGGTGCTACAATATACTAAAGTAAAGCAAAGCTATCCCTGTAACAGCCCGTGGAGGCCCATAGGGTTGTGAGATGTTGAGGTTCCCACATTTTCTAGACAATCGGCTCACAGATAGCGGCAAGGTTGTCAGCTCTATGTGCTGGCCGCCCTTTACCCCCAAGAATATTCCTGGTACTCATTTCTATTAGAGGCTGAGTCGACCCCAGGGCCATAATGTGGCTGGAAGGATTAGGTCAATTGAAAAAAGCCAATGACTTCATCGGGACTTGAGACCATGACCTTCCGGCTTGTATTAGAAGTAAGAGCTCATGACCAGATCTGGATTTATACTCACTCCCTCCTGTTCAGTTTTCTTCATTCATTTCTCCACTTTATTTTTGCCAGGTCCCTTTCCATGAAGTTTATGAGACAGGTATCTGAAATTAGAAACAGAGACAACATCAAAGTCACTGTATTTTAGGATCTTACAGAATGTAGCCATGCTTCCAAGTAACACATAAAATCCTTTCAGCCTGAAGTTTCAGCCAGAAAAAAAGGGTATGATCCAATTATAGTTCAATCTGTTATTTTGCGAAATAATAAAAATATGTTAACATTCCGTTTTCCAGCAAAACTTACTCATACAGCCAATAACCAGAAATGGGCAGCACGTCAAAGTCGGTGGGATTGAAATGATTAACGCTAAATATTTTAATAAAAGTACAATGGGACAGTAACAATTTCGAGGCATGTTTGTTCCTAATTCATGGAACTTATCTGCAAAATGAAGCATTCTGCCACATTCTATGCCTACACAACAAACTATATCAAGTACAAAGTATTTACACACTCAAATGACACAATATGTTGGCTAGTTACAAACTGTCACATACAGAATGGAGAAAAGGAAGTCAAAACAACAAGTATATGTCAAAATGTTCTACTGAAAGCATCTGAGGTGGAAGACAATAATCTCACCCCCCCTGATAGGGCAATCATGATAGTGCTGGTCAGCAGAGGGACCCTTAAATTTAACATGGGCTCTAACCCATTGGGGGGGGGAGGTACCCTTTGTATTCCTGAATCTGGTAGGTGTGAAGGCATCATCTGTGAGCAGAAAAATCTGTACACAGATATGACTGAGGACCGAACTCAGAACCTTCTGAATGGGTATAACAGCTTAACCCAGGACATTTTGCTTAAGGATCTACTTTAAGTTTCTCTAGTGTTGCTCTCAGCTCTGTCGTCATGTTAATATGGCTGATGGTAGACAACTGAAAGAACATGGGGTGTGGCAAGATGACAATACAGAGTTTCACATAAATCCATCAGTTGGTTCACACATTACAGTGATGATGGCATACATGAATGATAAACACAGTGTTCCCATAATCTTGTCTGTTTCCACTGAAAAACTGCTTCCTCCTTGTAATTTTTTCTTAAAATGGCAATTACTGTGGAAACTTTTTCTGCTCTAAAGAATGTACTACCATTGCACAGGCTACCCTCCACAGTGCAACCTATCTTAAAAAACTGATATGCTATTATCTGTGCTAACCTTAAAGCCTCCTTTGTATTAATTATGTGTCCATCATAATCTGTGTAGTCGAGTTTAACATTAGGTTTGTAGCCCTCCTTTTCTTTGAAGTCTGAGTTCGGACCACTGTAGCGCTTGCGATGCCCAAACTTTTCATCATCTCTGAAAAAGATAAAGCAATGCTGTATATTAAATTCCTTAGGCTAATTAGTCTTGCTTGCTTACTTTGTCCTGTCTTGACCATCATGTACACCTCCTTAATACTCAAGTGGGTCAATCCTGAGACAAGACTAGACTTGCAATCCAGTTATAGAGGAGATGACAAAGTATTCAAAGCTCAGATATTCTTTACCCTTCAAAATCTCCTACTCTACTCCATAATCAAAGCAAGTGGCCAATCCTTGTGCCCATGACAACTCTCTTCCCTAAAGCCTACTGCGGAGAAGACTTGAGAGCTACAGGACAACTTAGGTGACTTAGTCTGCCCAGTTATCCCTGTAACAGACCGTGGAGGCCCATAGGGTTGTGAGACATTAAGGCTCCCACATTTTCTAGACAATTGACTCATAGATGGCGGTGAGGTTGTCAGCCTTACGCACGGGCCGCACTTTACCCCCATGAAAATTCCTGGTACTCATTTCTGTTAAGAGGCTGAGCTGACCCCAGGGCCATAGTGCAGCTGGAAGGATTAGGTCAATTGAAAAAAATTAATGACCTCGGGACTTCAACCCACCTTACAACTTGTAGCATAATGCCTCAACCAACTATCCTACAGCTCCTAATATTAAACAGTAATGATTAATGTGTTTCTACTAAAACCCCTAACAAAACTGCAGTATATGATTAAATATGGTACACCATTTATGAAATATTTAAAATATAAACGCACAATTAAAACCAATACCAAAGTGTCAATATCTCTTAATTTCAATAGGCCTATGTTATGCATAAAGAATCTGCTAATGACTCACCAATCTCAACTTCATTCCAAGCTCCATGTTTGCCTTCTTCCTGATGTTTCTTCTCTTCAATCATTTCCCTCTCAAAGTCCTGTAATGTAAATTTTGTATGAGATTAGCACAACGCAAATGTGCAGTCCAAAAATTACCATTTCATTACCTTGAGATAGACTGACACCTGAACTGCTTACCCACCGACCACTGTATAAAAAATTATTGCACTGTAAAGTACTGATTACACTGTGTAGGATTTGAGCTTCTGACAGCAGTGGATTTGAAGAGTTCTGTCATCTGGGATATAATAACGATATTTTAAGTGCTCTCAATGACAGATTAATTGTGGGAGGGATTTTCTGTGATCTAGCAAAAGCTTTCGATTGTGTTAATCATGATATCTTACTATCGAAATTAAATTTCTATGGAATAACTGGCAAAGCTAATGAATGGATCAAATCATACCTCAAAAACAGGTATCAAAGAGTTGAAATAAATAATAAAAACTCCAGTCATAATGCATTTTCAAACTGGGGAATTATAAAGCATGGTGTTCCACAAGGATCAATTTTAGGTCCCTTACTTTTTNATCAAAAAGGAGTCTACTTTACTGGCATAAAAGTGTTCAACAATCTGCCACAAAGTATTAAAAACTTGGGCAATGATACTAAAAAGTTTAAATCAGAGTTAAAGAATTATCTACATGCTCATTCCTTCTACTCTTTAGATGAATACTTCAATGTAAATAGAGAATGATCTAAAATTAAGTTATATTAATTTTTAAGCTAAAATTGCCTGTACTTATGTATGTAACCTTTTGACTTGTTCTGTATCCAAAGGTACTAACCTACTTAGGATTTATAGAATGTAAATAAATTTAATTCAATTCAATTCAATGCTGTGTAGTCTGTCGAAAGTCAACAGACATTTTGGAGACACATGTCGCCTTCAGGGTTGAAGAATAAACAAAGCAAAAAACCAGCGCTGGCAGGTAACAAAGCCAAGCTTCCTACCTGCTTCATGCTTGCTTCTTCTTTCGTTTATTCTTTGACCCTGAAGATTCAGGTGATATGTTCCCCTGGAAATTCGGATGATACCCCAGAAGACAATTCTTGTGACTATACTGATCATCTTGAAACGTCTTTGCCAAAATATATCTTTTTAATATCACAGTATGTTTCAAAGTTACAGTTCTATTATAAACAAACTCTCATTCTGCCAAGCAATGTATGCCTGCCAAACTAATTCTGAGTTTGCAGTGACAATATTGTGACAATTAATATTCAATTCACTTTGAAATGAATAAAATTACAAGAACTATTGGTTTTCCATTTAGTTATGTTCTGAGCTATTTATTCATCCCTATTTCAATTTCACATATAATTCCTAGTAGTGTCTTTTCTACCCTTGTATCATGCACATGGCATAGGGAGAAAAAAGAAATAAAAGATAAAAAAAAAGGCTGGATTTGAGATTAGAGGAGATTAAGAAAGGCACTGTCTTCTGGGAAGTAACATCCTGTAAGTCCACTGACATTCCTTCAAAATGCTTATGGACTTTACCACATTATACGGCACTTTATTTCAGAAGGTACCACTTGTCAAGAAGAAGAAGAAAAAGGTTCTACCATCTCAACTATCACATTCTTAATGTATAACGAGTGCTTTCATTTCTAGGAATTCTGTTGGATGTTTCCAGTTCAGTAATTTATATATCCATTATCATGGAATTCAATTGTAATTAAAATATATTCTAATTCTGTTGCAGCTGCAGTAAATAACTGTAGATGGGCAATGGACTGTATCTAGTCTTAACACATGCTGAATCAAAGTGCCTTGCCAAATGTACATTTATCTGCGGATGGTTATATTGCACTCACAAGTAGTTCCTGAGCGTCCTCATCCCTGTTGCCAGCCAGACCATAAGCGGGGATGTCACCCAGTGTGTGGCAGAATTCTGCTGTAGCATTTAGCACAATGGAACCACCTTCCGTGTTTCCCTCTGAGTTTATCTCCAATATTGATTCTGCCACCTACAAACATCACAAATCTCAAACAGTTAAATTATGTAGTTATACAGCATCCTGTTTTGTAGTATCCATAAATGCAAAGCTGTCTCTATGATTAATTAGTTATGCTCCAGATGGAGGTGAGTGGCCAGCTCCATGTGACTCCCACACCCAGGGAAACAGCTCCTGGTGCCTATTTGACAGGAGGCCATAACAGGACTCAATAACCAAAATACAAGAAAGGATGATAGTATTAAAAAAAAAGTAAAGCTATCCCTGTAACAGGCCGTGGAGGCCCATAGGTGTGCGAGACGTCAAGACTCCCATACTTTCTCAACAACAAGCTCACAGATGGCAGTGTGGATGTCAGCCTTACATGCTGGCTGCCCTTTAACCCGCAAGAATATTCCTGGTACTCACTTCTGTTAGAGGATGAGTTGACCCCAGGGTCAGTGTGACTGGAAGGATTCGGTCAATCTAAAAATCAAATTACCTAACTGGGAATCAAACTCATGACCTTTCAGTTTGTGGCACAGTAAGAAGGGACGATAATATTACTTAAATGTGAAGATATGATTTACTGGTTTGAGGCCCACCACAACAAACTGAGAGAAACAATTTAATAGCCCTCAGGTTAAATTACAATATAGTTTCTCTAGGGTACAATGGTGTTGTACAGTAACAAAGATGGAAACATCATAATGAACTTTACTACAAAGTTCTGTGCAACATTTAATAACTGGAACATATGGAAACACTGCAGGAACTAAACATGGCACAGGATTCTGTAGCTAGGGACAATTTCATCACCTCCTACCACCTACCCAGAGCTGCTCCTGTTCTGTCTCAGGGATAAAAAGCAGACACTCAGCTAAGGGGAAGATGGTCTTGACTGTTTATCTCTTCTTGTAGCAGTATAATAATTTTTTCTGCTGATTTGAGTTCTATTTTAAATTTATGACAACAAGTACTCGTTACCTCACGTGTTTCACGACCGTTCACGACTATCTTTGACGAAAACTTGAGTGTCGTCACCATTCTTCGCGGGACGAACTGCCATTTTGGACATCGATAAGAGATGAGTGATGATCAATGGATCGATGGTGATCGATCTCTCGGCTCTCGGGGATGGGTTAAAGTAGGTAGGGGTATGTAGCGTATGTAGTTATTGCAAAGTTAAGTTGTACAGTTTCGCGGTTGATTGTTGGGAAGTATAGAATTTGATTTGATGTAGTGAATAAGAGCTGACGTTAAATCGCCATGTTACTATTTATGAAATTAAGTTAGAAATCCATGATATGTATGCGGTGGCCGTCTTGTAGTGCACTCAATTTCACCTGTTACTTCACATGTTTCGGCAACATAGTGCCATCATCAGGTGCTTTATTTGCGCTAAGCTATTGCATTGCTTGCCATTATATGTCTTTGTAAAATTATTAAAGTATTTAAAAAGTACATATTCGTCAATTATAATAAATTTGTATACACTAAAACTTGTTAAGATTATTCATCTTATGTGTCTTAATTTCAAACTCTCGTATGGTTCTTCCACTACGGGAGTCTTTTTTTCTTATAGTCTGTGTATACCGTGTCTAGCGATGTGTGCTCCCTTTATGACTGCGAGTGTTGTACAACATTAAGTTAGAAATTTATATGAAGTGAAAAATTCCTTTTAAGATATTTCTGTAGGTTATGCATCTTTCGATGTAGCTTAAAAGGAGGTGTGTAGAATTTCGAAACTCACCGTGTCCTGTGATTGTGTTATAATATATGTATTGTTTCTTGCAGGATAAATGGGGAAAAAAGAAATTTTGCACTTAGCCAGGGTTTTCATCATCCAGTAGACAGACAGGTTTGAAACTCTTCAACTTTCCCAGGTATTCAGCATGGTAAGTCTGGTTTAATGCCCGATGTAATGGCTTTATTATATGTTGCTTCTCCAACGAAGACATTAAGTTTAGCTGCTGTCTGTATTAAATGTATTAAACTGTACCCCTCAACGTAGCATCAGCACTATGTTTGTAATACTTATAGATGAATTATTTGTAGGTTTTGAGACAATATGTAATACTCTTACAGGGCTGAGGTGTGGGCAGGAAGAGTTGGGATATCCTGTGCTATTGATTCTGCTAGAATGGTGGACTATAAATTTTTGTGTAGCTGAACAGATTTGCAGTTCCATGTAGCTCAGATTCTGCAGCACAATCACTCCCACAACCTCCTGATCATCACACACCATTCCAGGTAAGCGCTCTATGCTTCTTTTATGAATGCAGCGGCTAATAATGAGGACTAGTTTTCAAAGCTGTCCCTGGAACCCAGTTGTAATCAAACAAACGTCATTGTCATTATTTATTACTATTGAAACTGTATATCAGTATACAGGTCATGGATAATTAAAAAATGTTTGAAAAGCAGAACATGCTTTCAGTAATATGATTTATGAGAGAATGAGGTGGTAAAGACTTTACTATGAGGAGTAAAGTAATCAGTGAACAAATTTTTTATAGAGGCAGTGTGTTGTAAAGTAATATTTATTTCCCAATGCGAAGAATTATGTTAATGCTCCATGTACGGAAGCACACTAATTTCGCATTTTTCTTTTGTTCATTGAGCACGGTGCTGCAGTGAATACCTTGCAACAGCTGCACATATTGAGGAGGCTGACAAACTTTTTGAGAGTTTAAATGGTGGAATGCCTGTTGACCCTGGAGAGCACTGTGTTGCCCACTAAGCGATAACAGTCCCCAGTATAGAGCACTGGTTATCCACTTCAGCAGGATCAATATCAGGATTCAGTGTGGGTAGGACTTTTGTGGAATTTATTTAACTATTTTAATATTTTTGTTATTATTCTGTTTTATTATTATGGGTATATTCCTTCTTCTTTTCTCCATATTACTCTGTCCTGTATTGAACTGGTGGACATGAATATAAGATTTTCAATAATCATTGCATTTCCTTAAGATATGTTATTAATTTTGCCAAATATTGCCATCCAGTGTTGAAATGGAAGATGAGTATCAGATTTCCAATATTCTGTAAGATATTATAAAAGGTTAATTAATTCCATCCAGTGTGACTGATATTACTGATCTCCAGTCACAGTGGACAGACATAATTAACCTTTTATAATATTGTTAGTGTGACAGACCAGGATGAAGCAAATCAAGTCTGTAAGATATGTTGTTATATTTGCAATTTATTCTTGTCCAGTACTGAAGTGGAAGATGAATATCAGATTTCCAGTATTCTATAAGATGTGTCATTAATTTTGCCATATAATCCTGCCCAGTACTGTAATGGAATATCAGATTTCCAGTATTCTATATGATATGTTATTAATTTTGCCATATAATCCTGTCCAGTACTGAAGTAGAAGATGAATGCCATGTTTCCAATATTCTGTTAATTTGCCATATAATCCTCTGCATTACTGAAATGAAAGATCAATATTAGATTTCCAGTATTCTGTAAGATATGTTACTCTTTCCCATATAGATTTCAGTGTTCATTGTAATTCTGTAAGATGTGTTGTAATTTTGCCATATAAGCCTGTCCAGTACTGAACGTCATTCTAATGAAATTAATAATAAATTGAAACGTCAGTATTACTGCTTGCTATATGTGATTTATAATGATTTAATGTAACCAAAAACTATGTTCTGTGTGGCTTTCAAGTGTAAGTTGTTACCAAAGGTGTGAGGTTAAATAGAAGTATGTCTGATGGAAACACACTTTTCTTTAAAGTTCCCCACCTTCAGCTTTCCTAAATGCAAGTATTCTATGTATGTTATAGTTCAATGTCCAATGCATTTGGGTAAGGAGATGTTGGATTGGTAGGAATGAAATGTTATGGCTTTACAGGCACTGCTGAGAAACTTTCTGCTTTTGCAATCCCAACCTCTTGTGCTGCAGGCGTTCTTACTCCATTGTTTTTTTCTCTTCTTTTTCTGAATTGGGTTCAGTATCACCTCACTCATATCCTTTGGAACAGACATGAGTGAAGTGATATTGAGCCCCATTCAGAAAAAGAAAAAAACAATGGAGTAAGAATCTCTGCAGCACAAGAGATATGGTAGCAAAATTATTTATTGCTACTCATGTGAACTGTGTGGTCCAGGAGGTGGAAGAGGGTTTGAGGGGGAGAGGATGAGGCATAGGATGGTATGGTAGCATTCTATTTTATTGATCATGCTGTTGGTGGCCATTTCTCATTTAGTTAGGATATGTTTGCGTAGAGATGGCAGGAGTAATGCCACATGACATCACCACGGCCATTTTGCCCAACATTAACGAACATTTAATGGGTTGCTCGGGGACTACTTGACTGTACTTGACGTATCAGCTAGGCATTGTCCTTTAGGGACTGAGAAAAGCATTGAAAATCTTCAGTCAGGATACCCTCTCCCAGGCTCAAGATTCGAACCTGGCACCTTTGTGCCAGTGCATTAACGAGGCTACAACAAAATGCAACCCATTTTAACTGGGGTTCGATTCTCGGCAGAAATAAGAGATTTTTCTCTTCTCCATACCATCCAATCCGGCTGTACAGTCCACCCAGTCTGCAATCCAATGGCTACTTGGTGTGAAGTATCAGGAGCCTGGAGCTGATGATTTATTTCCATCTAGTACAGAGGTTAAGAATGCATGGAGCTATACCTCCAATCCCAATACATTTTCATGGCATTATGCATAATCAAGGACATATATAACTTTATTTTGCCTTACAGCTTATCCTAATATGGTACATTCAAACAGCCGTAATTATCATACCATAAGTCATTCTAGATTCATGTTAACCAAAATTACCTTGATGCAGCAGAACTTGCACCCGATTTCCTAATGAGTACTGAGTCTGGGAAATTGCATTAATAGAATTACACATAAACCTATCCCTGTAACAGGCCATGAAGGTCCATTAGGGTTGTGAGACTTCGAGGTTCCCACATTTGCTAGACAGTTGGCTTACAGATGGTAAGGTTGTCAGCCTTATGCGCCGGCCACTCTTTACACTTCAGAAAGATTCCTGGTACTCATTTCTGTTAGAGGCTAAGTCGAACCCAGGGACATAGCGCAGCTGTAACGATTAGGTAAACTGAAAGAAGCTCCACCTCATCATGGCTCGAACCCGTGACCTTCCATCTTGTAGCATAGTGCCTCAACCAACTACACTACTGCCGTGACTCACTATTACACATAAGATATGTCAAATTATATTGATTGCATTTTAAACATACGAGGGGAAGTCAATAATTATCCGCAATGCAGTTGTATTTGTTTCTGTTGGCAGCACTGTCGTTTTGCGCAGCATCGCCATGCGTGGTTTCCTTGTCATTACTTCTGTGCAGGTTTGATGTTGCTAGGTCAGTTCCATCGTCACTGCCTTGCCGTTAATCATGGCTGCTCCGCTTTCTGTTTGCACCAAAGAAGAGCAATGTTCAGTGATCTGGTTTTTGTGGTCGGAAGGTGTATCAGGGGCCACAATCCATCAAAGACTTTCAGCACAATATGGGAACAGTGTTTTGCCACAACCGAGTGTCTACGAATGGATTGAAAAATTCAAAAATGGTCGCACAAGTGTTACGCATGAGGAAGGAGCCGGACGACCATCCACAGCCACAAATGAGGACAACATTGAGCATGCATGTGACATGGTTCTGTTAGACAGACAAGTGACTATTGATGAAGTGGCAAATCGTCTGCAAATTAGTCAGGTTCTGCCTACGAAATCATCCACAACACACTCGGGTTTCATAAAGTCTGTGCAAGATGGGTCCAAAAACAACTCACAGTGTTGCATAAACAAACACACTTGGCCATCTGCCAACAACATTTGGATCGCTATGGTAAAGAACGTGACGTCTTCTTAGACAGAATCATCACTGGTGACGAAACATGGATCATCATCGCGAGCCGGAGAGTAAACGGCACAGTATGGAATGGAAACATCCACAATCGCCCAGCAAGAAAAAGTTCAAAAGCCAACCATCCGCAGGAAAACTGATGCTTACAGTTTTTTGGGACTCACGAGGCCCAGTACTGGTACATTATCAGGAGAGGAGCACAACAATAAACAGTGCTCGTTACAGTGAGATGCTTACTGACAGGCTAAAGCCTGCAATTCAAAGCAAAAGCTGAGGACTACTGTCGAAATGTGTTGTGTTGTTGCACGACAATGCCTGTCCACATACTGCTGAAACCCCCTGGAAACTCAAGTTTGATGTAATGGCTCATCCTCTGTATAGTCCTGATCTCGCCCCTTCTGACTACCACTTGTTTGGTCCACTCAAAGAGGCATTAAGGGGCCGTCGATTCACCTTGGACCAAGAAGTGAAGGAAGTGGTGCATGCGTGGCTCACTGCTCAGCCGAAAACCTTCTTTTCTGGGGGCATCAGGAAGCTTGTGCAATGATGGACCAAGTGCGTTGAAAAGCAAGGGGACTATGTTGAAAAATGATGTTGATGTAATTTTTCTATTTGTATTGAAATAAAATTTATAGCTACATTGCGGATAATTATTGACTTACCTACGTATTTATGACATCACATGAACTTTGCCCAAATACAGCAGAAATATTGCCTCACAAGCAAACAAACTCCATGGTTTTAGTCCGTGAGCGAACTATACCGACTGAATGACCTCTGCTTGTTGGCGAAGTTAGTGCCAACTTTTTGCAGATAGAGGGTGTCGCATGGTCAGGCAATGAATCCCTAAGGCCGTTAATTTCGGTTTTATAGACCGGAGCCACTATTTCCTTCAAATAGCTCCTCAATCATCCTCACGAGGCTGAGTTGACGCCATACCAAACCCATTATTTCTAAGAAAATCTGGTAGTGCCGGGAATTAAATCTGGAACCTCTGGGTCTGTAGCCAGAAACTCTGACTGCTAGACCACAGAGGTGGTCATATTGACCCACATGCAAAGAATAAATTACTGAATGCACTTTAAAAATTGGTACCAGAAATATTTAGGACAAAGATGCAACATGATCATGTAGGGATGTAAGGTTTTGAATGTTGAAGATTCAATAGCACTTGAAGTGGAACAGATGTTTATTATAGATATGCATGACTTCTGAGGTTCTATGAGTAAATCACCAATCAAACAAAACAGACACTGTGGTTTTAGTCCGCAAGCTAACTATACCAATCGAGCGACCGCCGATTGTCGGTGAAGTTAGTGCCAACTTTAGTGGATAGAGGGTGTCACATTTTATTAAAATGGTTGATGACTGCAAGTTAATTATAAACTCATGGAAATCGGTGAAGATAACTGAAGATTTTTTACCAGATAAATGTTTATGTTATTTTATGACACTGTCAGTATCTGAAAAAAAAGCAGTAACTAAACTGACATACTATCCCAGCGATTGAGGGAATTCATGAAAAATCTGATGTCCTGACTGACACTTGAACAGTGCTTCTTCTGAATGCGTCTAGAGAGCAATCACTAGTGCAATCCACACAGTAATATAATGTAACGGTTATGTATGATCAGCTTTTCACGGCACTAATTACAAAAAAACTGAACTTACCACAAACCACAAAATATTTGCTGCAACATCCAGTGTCATAAAAACGCTCATGAACATGAAAATACTCAATGATTAAAACTGACACAAAACAAGAGAGCTACATGGATTGGCAATGCAACATTACAACAAAATTAAAACAGTATGAGTCTCACAAATCCAGTGTGAGCTCTGCTGCATTAATATTCGTTAAATCAGCTATCAGACCTTACTATAATTTGTATATCATAATTAACTGCTATTATGTAAAAAAAACTGTGAAGTGCTGGTGATGCATGTAGTCTTACAGGTTACATCATATTCCTTCCTACCCAATGCCCTGTAGTCACAAATTTGTTTCTTTAGTACAACTCTAAAAATTGCCACATTTTTGGACATGCCCACAAAATATTTTGTATAGAGCAAGAACATGTCCGGTTACTTAAACATTTATGGTTTGTATGTAAACTTGGACACTTAGGGCAGTAGATCAGAAACACCTGGAGAGCTTCAAAATGTGGCGTTGGAGAAGGATGGAGAAGATCAGTTGGACCGATTATGTGAGAAATGAAGAAGTGTTAATTTAGAGTCAGTGAGCAGAGGAATATCCTACATGAAATAAGAAAACAGAAGGCTAACTGGATTGGTCATATCTTATGCAGTAACTGCCTTCTAAAAGAAGTTATTGAAGGAAAGATAGAGGGGCGGATAGAAGTGACCAGAAGACGAGGAAGATGCTGGATGACCTTGGGGACAGAAGAGGATATTCTCTTTGAAGGAGATAGCTCTAGATTGCATTAAGTGGAGGAAATGTTTTGGAAGAGACTGTGGACCTGTTGTCTTGACAGATTACTGATGAATGTAAACTTCTATAAATATATGTAAATTCTGAAATATCTCCATATTTGGGTTCTTATTCACTTAACATATGAATACATTTGCTAGCAGGAAGTTTTTTTCCTGTTTATATTCTTGCATCACTAAGATTTTTGTGGTCCACCAAATAAGCTATCATACAGGAAACTAAGCCTCAGTTTCCTTTTCTCTCATCCAGTTTAGATGACCTTCCTTAAAGTGGCATCTGTATTTCCGTGATTAACATGATCTATGTTATCTACAAGTGCTTGGCTGTACTTCTATTTCCTGCCAGTAGGGTTCACTATTACACATGTAACCAAACCAACACAAAGATAAATTACAAGTATACACTATTCCATCAGTACATACTGTTTGCGAGTTCTCCTGATGTTAAAGATATACCATGGCTAATGTATCACAGCAGGTAATTAACCCATTTACTTATACTTAAAGCTATTATTCCACAAATTTTACAACATAAAGTCTGTTGAAGTAATGTACCAGGAATGACACGGCTCCCAGAAAGAGCTTATCTAGAGAACTAAAGAGAGGTATAGACCACACAGCAAAGCATACCACATAAATTAGACAACACAACAATAGTAGCAATCAACATCCTGGTAATAAGAGAGAAGATAAATTTGTGCTCAATAAACAGTTAACAAAATGAATCTAGCCAATAATCGAAGAAGCAGACGAAGAGATGCATGGTCTACTACAGCAACAGACACTAAGCTAAAAATTAGTAAAATCAATTTTGTTTTTAACTTTCACTTTCATATGTATCTTGTATTTAAATCAACATCTAGCTGTCAGAATATAAATGCACACAGAAAGTAGTCATTTTAAGCCTATGTATGTAAATATGCACACACACTTTATAATTCAATAATGAAAAAGTGTAAATGACAACACCTGAGGATGACCCTATAAGGGTAAAAATATGTAATGGAATATAAGTTAATAAATTACAGTTGCACTGACGGTGGAATTTATATTATTAGTTATACTCATGCGACAGGATGTAGACATTAAGAATATTATAAGTTACCTAGAGAACAGTCTGTGGCTAGTAGCTTATATATGAAGGTTGTACCGAAAGTCATGAGCAACTTTTTTTTTTTTGCGTGCAACCTGGGAACAGCAGACGAAAGAGAGTATGGTGGTAGGTGGAACCAGCTGTTGTGTTAACCTTGAGTGTCTTGTGATGTCAATAGCTTGCATCATGTGACCAGTATCACTCCTAACAAAATGGCCGACAACAATATGTCGTTTCACCAGTGTGCTGTCATCGAATTTCTTGTGAAAGAGGAAATCCCTGCTGCAGAAATTCACCAGAGACTACAGCGTGCTTATGGAAGTGTGTGCATGGGTGAGAGCAGTGTTCGAAGATGGGCGAAACATTTTAAAGATGGGAACACCAGCATTGAAGATGAGTCTCGGAGCAGCCATCCTCGAACAGCCTCAACTGAACGCAACAAGGAAAGAGTGGGTGAGATCATTCAAGATGACAGGCGTGTGACTGTTGACACAATAGCCCCAAAACTTGGAATAGGGCACAGTGCAGTACAGGAGATTATTGAAAGGTTGGGCTATAGGAAAGTTTGTGCTCATTGGGTCCCGCAGTTATTGACCGAAGACCACAAAGGTCAGCGAAAAGCCATCACCTTAGAAGTGCTGCAGAGATATTGACATGAAGGCGATGATTTTTTGCTATATATTGTGACAGGTGACAAAAGATGGTTTCACCATTTCGAGTGTGAAACGAAATGGTAGAGTATGGAATGGCACCATTTGCATTCTCCATCAAAAAAGAAGGCAAAGACAGTGCCGTCAGCTGCGAAGGTGATGGGCACAGTCTTCTGGGATGCAGAGCGGTTTATTCTGGCCGAATTTCTGGAACCTGGGCAAACCATTAATGCTGCTTGTTATGTCCAGACGCTGCACAAGCTCTGTCGTGCATTGCGCGATAAACGTCTGGGATGAAACATCATCAACCTGCATGACAACGCTCACCTCACATTGGAAGCAATTGCAAAGATGGGATGGGAAGTTCTTCCACACCCCTCCTATAGCCCTGATCTGGCACCCTCTGACTACAATCTTTTCAGATTTGTGAAGCATCAGCTGCGTGGACGTTTTGAGACAAGGGAGGCAATTCAGAAAGCAGTGCGTCACTGTCTTCAGATGGCTGGAACGGAATTTTACAGAAGGGAAATTTTCACTCCTAGAATGCTGGGAGAAATATGTACAAAGAAGTGGTGATTATGTGGAAAAATAAAGAACGGTCTGTAGATTGAGGTGGTGTATTTGGTTCGTCAATAATAAAGCATGTTACTTTACAAAAAATTGTTGCTCATGACTTTCAGTATGACCCTCGTATGTGGTGCAGCTGATTATACTTAAAAAGTTTTGTTGAGTGTGAGGATTTGTCATTGCTATTACACGGTTTGGGATTACCAAGCACTGAACTGTCAAGTGATAACATGTTGCATGAACAGAAGTTATATAGGTCATGAAAAGCAAGCAGTCTTTTGTTTCAGTGGATCATCCCTGTCACATAGGTACTGATAATATTGTCACATGTTTGGAATCCAGAAGGGACACTTCCATGGAAACGCTAGAATAGACTCTTGCATAGGAAGTAACAATAGCGATATTGTAACCCTAACAGTGAGCCACTGCATAGAGAATGCCAAATCTCCCCAGAGATGAGTCTCCACGGTTATAACGAGGGCTCATTGCAGAGCAGTGGCCGAGGCTATAAGAAGGGTTGAAGGTATTCGCCAAGTCAGTCGGAACCTAGGCACCACAGCTGAAGTCCAGCATTGGCCGAGGTATAGTTGAACAGCAGTTGAGACACTGAATTGTATAAGGTTAGGAGTAATTATTATATGATTGATTTTGTAAGTGTAGAAGTGAAGCACAATAAAGATTCGCTAAATTCGAGACCCACGTGAAGTTATTTGTCGCGTGACATACTCAACATGTGACAATATTTTGATGTGGATATGTGAAGTGTCGTACATTACAAAATGGAAATTGTTTACAATCAACTATTTTGTATGTTATTTATGGGAGATGGTGTTAAACACTATGGACTGAACACATCATTAACATAGGACTAGAAAGGAATATATGGAAGAAAGCACAGGAAATTAATAGCACTTAAGCTTAGTGCTGATTAAAAAGTTCATGAGGATTTTTGCACTTTTTAATTTAATGGATACAATTTGCTATATGATATTCTCCTTTCTGAAATTTTCAGTATGCACTGCATTAACACACACCATGCATACTAATAGTCTGCAATGTGTCTGTAAATTCCTGTAATTTGTTTTAAACAAGGTGGCTGCAAAATAATATGTAAAACGGAATTTTGAACAGTTTTACCATTACCAAACATTCTTGAATTATTACATTTCCATGTCAATTGTCACTCACTACATTCAGTCTAATGTGACATTCACAATCTAAGGGATGGGTAACACAGCACCTAAGATACAATGTTTATTTTGCGAGGTCCCTTGGCTTGCTGTGTACACTTTACAAAAATACCCCAGATACAGAAGTCCAATTCTGTTAAGATTGGTTAAAAGGTGGTCCATTTCATAGGTTTTCCTGGACGAATGCAATGCCCTGGCAAAGTGTTTCTAAACACTTCCAAATTGGGCAAAGCAAGGAGTTGCTCCATCCTGACAAAATAACTCTTTGTAAAAAGTCAGGATTTTCTTATAGTTGTGGAATAAAAAGCTCTTGTAACATGTTAAGGTTTCATTTGTTCAATTTCACACTGGAAACATTTTACAGCCTGAATGACAACCAAATTCATGTACAGATCTCACAGCTTCTGAAATCTCTGAGAAACTGTCATTATATCAGAACATGGAGTTTCCACTGAAACAGAAAGTTCTTTTTTTATTGCTAGTGGGGTGGGACTAAGTCCCTTGTACTGTGGCCACTTCTGGCCTATTGTACCAGCCCCAGATGATAGTGGCACAATTGGTGGAATGAAGATGCCAGGGGAAACCGAAGTACTCAGAGCAAATCTGCCCCAGCGCCACTCTGTCCACCACAAATCCCACTTGACCAGACCCAGGATCGAACCCTGCCCACTGCGGTGGGAAGCCAGTGACTAACCACTTGAGCTATGGTGCGGCCCAAACAGAAAGTAAGTACCAGTTAATATTCACAACAAAATAAATAAACTTATCCACATCATACTTATATCAGTATCTACAATAATAAAACTACTGACCCTTCTTTTAGGCATATTCATTTTCAGATGCTCTGTATTCGTAGTTCTAATGACACTGTCAGCAAGTCACACCATACATGATTGAGTGTGTGAATTACAGTGAATAACGAAAGGGAAGGGATTTAGCAGTAAGTAAGTACATTAGGGTCTAAGGTAGTACCCAGCATTTATCTAGAGGGGCTCAGGAAAGCCATACAAAAATCTTAAGTCATGCCAGTCAACGCGTTCTGGCCTACAAACAAACTGGGCGCCTCCTGAATACAAGTCAACTTGATTGCTGCACAGCATGGCTGGCTTTTTTGTGGATTCTGTTGTATGATGCTCATACAGTTTGCATTATACATGCATACTATGCATACTGCACTTAACTAATTCAGATATATTTCAATTAACAGCACTCATTTAACTGGTAACTGCATGCCGGCTGACCAAGAAGCTGGGGAAAGCACAATAGACCACTGTAGGTCACGCTGCAAGGGCCGAGAAGGCACACCCCTTATACAAGAGGTTGGGGAGAAGATGAGTAGAGTATTGTGTGGGTGATGGTGGTGACAGGAGAATGGGGAAAATCTGACATAGCTGTGCGACGTTTTCTGTGCATCACGCTTTGAAAGGCTAAGGAAACTTCAGTATAGTACTGTCATCTGTTTGATTTATGCGGTTTCACCTGCTGCATCTCTTTCTCTTGGGTGGTGGGATGGGAAGGAGCAGGGGGGAGACAATAGTCATATATATATATATCGAATAGCACCTGTGTTCTGTTCAATTTTGTCATTAATATTAACTCTTAAGTTGATGGATGCAACATGTTCACATGAAACACTAGTATCCACCTCAAGACTACACGTCTGTTACAGCCCTGTGGACCCCAGTCTGGATATATGGAACCTGAAAACTTATATGACAGTGCATTCTTTAAGCTACTGTTATAATTACCACATGCGATGATCTACATACAAAATAATCCTACTTTTTGTGGTGCAAGTCTTTCATATAGCACTAACCAGAGCCTGCATGGCCTTTTAAATCCTCTTCTTTCATAAAGTCAGAATTTTGTGAATATGCTGAACACCAAAGTCCCTGTTAGTCTAAAGTTCAAATTCAAAGCTCTAAGCAGTATCTCCTAGTCATTATATCTGCATCACCATATCATCAGAAGTAAACTGATTCCTATCCCATAACTGTACTTACCTTAGAGTAAAAAAGAATTGTCTGTTTTATGTTTAGAAATCATGGAGGCATTGCCTCTGTATTTACTACAAGTATTTCCAGTTAATATGCTGACAATGAAATTAATGCCTCAGTCCAGACACAGACAACTGAAAATGGAAACAAGAACTGATCCTAGGACATGATGAAGTATCCCAAAGAACTAAACTGTAGTAATCATATCCCTCTGGAATTGTGTTATGTAATCTGATGAGTACCAGCATTTCACAGGACCCCTTCTACTCTGAGAATGGTGGCAGCAGTTTCTCCTGAAACTTTGGTACATATCTACCATACTCTATGGCATTAATGAATGTCAGGGTTGTGTTTAACACTCCCACTTTGTATTTGGGAAGTTCCACATCTCAGCCCCAAGACTGATTACCTTAATTGAGTTCTTTGTTGGATCTCTTTAGTGCCGTTAGGTTAATGCTGTGATAATACATAAGGCCGAGTCACAATGGCCCCTTCCACATTCTTTCCAACTCACTGTTCACCAATCATCCTGCCACCCACTGCTACAGTCTTACTGACAGTGTTCTCAAACATGCATAAATATGGAGGATCTGAGGATCTCACAGCAGAGGTTCAGGGATATAATGCCATACTGAAAGTCAACCCATGTTTTGGGGGAACATGTCAACCCCCTTTTCATTTTGAAATGTAAGAAGATAAATAAATCGTGGTTTATCAATCATTGGCTGGTTTCTTGCGCTTTAACCCTGAAGATGTACGTGACTTGTTCCTTTGACACACCAGTTGACCTTCAATGGCCTACACAGCATTATATCCCATAAGAGAGAATTCTTCAAACCGTAAATAATTAATCAGTGTCTATTATACATAAAAATGCATGTAAAAGTGGGTAGGTGAAGGCAAGGAAAGGAATGGTAGATTGTATATTTATGCTATCACTGATTCTGCATGTTCCTTGTTTCTTTCATGCCTCTTATCCCAGTTAACATATTCATACTTTAAGCCCCTGAAATATGTTATTCTTTTGTCTTATTTGTCTTGAATTTGATTTCAGAAAGCATATACTACAAGTTTCATAATAGCTGGCCCAATTGTGCACTCTGAAGATATCAGAGCACTGACTATTATTGAGCATGGGTTTATTGCAGTTGTGAGAGGCAAGGTAAGTGCATAAGTGCTACTAAAGGAAAAGTTTGTTCTAGAGAAGCACTTACATGTGGTGACTACATAAAACCTTTTCTGAGGAAACAGACTTAGCTTGCAACCCTGTAGAGACCAGTAGTAAGACTTAGATGCAAATGGGATGATAATATTAAAATGGAACTAACAAATATGATGGGGTTGTTTGGAATAGACTGAGCTGGCTCAGGACAGGGGCCAGTGGAGAGCTCTTGTGAACATGGTAATGAACCTTCATGTTCCATAAAATGGTGGGAAATTCTTGAGTAGCTGAAAAACTGGTGACTTCTCAAAAAAGAACTCAGTTACATGGAGTTTCTTGGTTAGACATAACCTGTACTACAGAACTGTTTCTATCAATGACATATTTATTTTCATATGATTTTAAGACAGTATACAGCATAGTCTTCTTAGGGATCTGTTGTGTCAATGTGGAGTTAATGTCTGCTGTTTCAGACAATGTATCCATCTCCATCATCAGGGCGACATGTGATGAGTGTCGAATTCTCATGCTATATTTATATTTATATAAAGCTCTCTTTCATTGCACCCCAGACTGCATGGGCAGAGTCAGATGGCTTGTTGTCATGTCCCAGCACAGGCCAGTCATCTGAATTCATGCTGCTTGCCACTGGTCCTTCCTTCTAATGTTTTTCCAAGTAATCTCATATGTTTTATTATGTTTGTGGCTGGGGGCCATTTGCTTAGGGGGGATCCCATATCTCTGTTAATGGTGTCGGAGTTAAGCTGGATCTCAATGACATCCTTAGCTACATGAAGTGTTCATTGTAAGACATGTATTAACACATATACCATGAAGATAATGTGGATCTATATATCTACTCCCACATACATCTTCATGGCGTAGTGCTTAATTAGTTAAGCACAGGGACAGTTTTACCTTTACCTTACACCATGAAGATACAAATAACTAAAGGTAGTACTTGCCTGCTTTCCCTCCTTCAGAGTACACAAAATACGTCCACAGTATGCTCAGAGAGAAATCGTTCTCCCTGCTCATATTGGTAGGGTAGTGGTTCACTTCTGCTGCATCTGTCATGAGCTTCTTCCTGAACCTGATTTCCTGGCCAGGATGCTGGTGTTACTGAGCAGGATATGATGACCCAGGTCAGTGCTGTGGTCTGACACTGTCAAGTTCCTCATTTGATACAGTTTGTTGTAACAGAGATCAAGTTCCACCCCAACAATGTGAACAGGAATGGCAGGTTCCCTCTGAGCAGATCATGGAAACCTCTATCCACTTCATGAAAGAAAAGGTGAGGAAGGTTCCCTAAAATGCATGATCATTACTTCCTCACAAGGTGACATTCCTCTATCCAGACCTTTGAAAAAAGGGCTGATTTCTCATTTCCCATCTGCAGGAGCCCTGAAATGGCCCATATTTCTACAAATTCTCCATGTTCTATTTTCCTTCCTGCAAGGAAAAGACAGTTATTGTAATGGATATAGATCTTGAAAGTATGACCATATCTAACAAGTCTGGGTGATCTACTGATGTTGCGAAAGTGCTGTACTATAATACATTATTCATTTCACTGGAAATGGTTAGAAACTAAACAAATTGTTTAAATTAACCATTTTCTCTCCCAACTATTTAATTTCACTTCTATATTCATTACAATTTAAAATACAGGGCAAATGTCCATGTGAAAACAATGTTACGAGGACATGAGACAATTCTGTCAATAAAAGAGGCCATTAGTAGGAACCAAGTCCTTGTTAAACAGTATGTAAGGAATAATTTAAAGTAACCAATATATTTATTCACATCATTATAGTAGTGGCATTTTAAAACTCAGCATTAAGTATCTTGCATGCTCTTACATTTCTCCTCCTTACTCAATATTCCTTTTGTACTGTACATATACAAGGTGTGGCAATAAAGAACCCGGATTACTTTTATGANACGAAACTACTGCACACCAAATGTAACCACATCCCCACAACCCATGAATTATCTCCTACCATACAAGATATCCATAAATGATCTTCTTGACTGTTTTACTGCTCAGAGCACAGTTAATAAATACAATCCATTTGAAAGAGTAACTCAAAAAGTATTACAAAAACCTATACTGTTCAATGGCGACACCATGAGCAGCCTGAACAATGTGACACCAATATTTATTTCATTTATTTAATGAATGGATCAATATACAGTTGATATTGGACAAGTGATGAACATCATAATAAATTAAGAGGCCTCAAATGAAACATAAAACAATCAAAATATACAATTAGAAAGATTTCATCCATAATCTTCTGTTTATGATTACAATAATTACAGACGATATTACAGGTCATAAGGACAACAATAAATTAAAATGATCAGAAATAAGGTTCTAAATATACTATAATAAAAGTATCAACACCCTATTATAAAACCCTCTTTCAGCTTCCTTTTGAGAAGGTGGTAATTTTTTACCTGTCCAATGTAAATGAAATTCAAAAAGGTCTTTCATGTATTTGGAAACACATACAAATGAACCTAAATACTAATGTAATTGTCTTGAGTCGACCCAAAAGAAGAGACTAGGAAGATCAATCTTGTGTGAATATAGAAATTATGAATTTTAACAGAAAGCTTGGCAAGCATTTGAAATCGTCTGACCATGAGCACCATAATGAGATTAATTGTGACAGAAAATATCATACTAGACATGGTTTGCAGTTGAATTTAAAAGGTAAGGAATATGTAGCTAAACAGTTACTTTTATAGAAACAAAATCAAATAAAAATGAACAGACTGTTATACCTTTAAACTGGAAGAAGGCACAGATGAAGGATAAAATGGAGAAGTGTGAAAGTAAGGATAGTATTAGTTCAGAAGAAGTTTAGGTAAACTTATCTGTGGATAAAGGGAAACAGTATGGAAGGATGTCTTCCTTGTCGTTAGGTAAGCGAGTCAGGAGACAAGCAGCAAATAGAAGTGATGATTTTTTATGGTAACACCTCAAAATATAAAGAATTTGAAGCCTTTGCATAGTATCTGGGATCTAACACAAATTCTATCCATAATGTGTATATATTTACCGTCTTTTAGTGAATTCAGTTTCACTTGTCACTTCACACTACATGTTTTGGCATCATTCTGCCATCCTCAGGTGTATCAATCACGTTAAACCATTGCACTGCCTGCCATCAAGTGTCCATTTATAAAATGACATAAAATGTGTGTTCTTCATTGTTCAATAATAAAATTTATATATTAAAACTTGCTAAGATCTATCATCTTACATGTCGTATATCAAACTCGTGTGTAACGCCATTCATCCGCTATGGGAGTCCTTCTTCTTATGTTTTACTTGTGTATATACTGTGTCTTTCTAATGTGGCCACACATATATATATGTTCTGGGCCCACTGCTGTTTAATGTCTATATTAACTATTTCCAAAATATCCTAAAAATTAAAAAAGTAAAAAGTAAAGCTATCCCTGTACCAGGCCGTGAAGGCCCATAGGGTTGTGAGATGTTGAGGGTTCCACATTACCTTGACAATTGGCTCAAAGATGATGGTAAGGTTGTCAGCCTTACGCGCCAGCTGCGCTTCACTCCCCAGGAAAATTATTTAATTAATTCCTGGTACTCATTTCTGTTAGAGGCTGAGTAAACCCCAGGGCCTAGTGCGGCCGGAAGGATTAGGTCAATTGAAAAAAATCCAATGACCTCATCGGGACTTGAACCCGCGACCTTCCAGCTTGTAGCATAGTACCTTAACCACTACGCTACCACGTACCCCATCCTAAAAATATAGCACATACTATTTTGTATTAGGATAACACCACAATTATAGTTACTTCAAATGATCTAAATACTTTGAATAATAAATTAAATAGAGTAATGAACTGCATTTCTAATTGGTTTCAAAATAATCATCTGGTATTTAATTTGGAAAAAACTCGATTTGATTAATTTACTAGCCTAAAGGCTCCAGAATATACATTATCAGTAACATATAATAATTTTGGTCTTAAAGTTGAAGATAATATTGAATTTTTGGGTATGTTCATAGATTGTCATCTTAATCGGAAACAACACTCTGAAAAGTTAATAACAAATTTAATACAGCATGTTTCATGCTGAGGAAGTTACAGTTCATAGTTAGTGAGCATGTCCTTCGAATGGTCTATTTTTCTCATCATCAGTCACAAGTTGAATATGGTATTATTTTTTTGGGGTTCTTCCTCAGCAAAGAAAAGCATTTTTGCGGCCCAAAAAAGGGCAATTAGGGTTATGTTAAGATTGAGTCTTAGAAGCTCTTGTAAAGAAAGCTTACAGAGAATGGGTATTTTAACTGTTCCTTGTTTATATATATATATATATATATATATATATATAGAGANACATGTTTCCTCAGTAAGACTATCTTTGATTTAGGGGGGGTTTGCTGTACTCATCAATCACAATTTATAATAATCTGCCACAAAATATACAAATTTTGAAAGACAATGCGAATATTTTTAGGCATATATTGAAAACTTTCTATTTCAAATGCTTTTTATTCAATAGACGAATACATTTCAAGCAAAAATTTTGCTGAATAAATGAATGTACTGTTGTTTGTAATTGCTGATGATGTGCCTAAACTGTGATTGATAATTTCACCCACTATATTTGGTAGTTATAATGGTGTATAAGTGTCTTTTCTCATTCATAATTTGTTTGTAATTGTTGTTGACTCGATTGTTTCTTTGCAATCAAGTCTTTTATAACGAGTTCTATACCCGGTCCGGATCGGACAACGGATCAATGAAACTATGTATGTATGTATGTATGTATGGGAGAGCAAGTGCTCACTTCTCAGGAATGACTTGGTTCCATGGAGTATGAATAAATATTGCATCTTGTAATTAGTAGCCTGCTACTGTAGATTTCCTGCTTGTGTGCAAGCTCATGGTTGTTAATGTGATTACAGTTTTACAACTGTATACTTCTTCTTCTACCATTTTATTTTGTAAATAAAATTTCTTCTTGTATACATGGAGTATGCAGTTAGTATATACTTGCATTTGGTGTAATAAAACAACCTTCTGCCACATTAGGGAATATTGTGATCAAATTTTGCAGAGGCGTCAATCAGCATAAAACATGAGGGAGATGTGGAATAGCAAAGTCTCGCGCACGCACAATACACACAGTTGCTTAGTACATACATGAACAGGCTATGGGCTGGATAGCTAGGGTTGTATTTCCCGAATGGGAATCAAATTCTTCTCTTCCTTACAGCTTCAAGACTGGCTCTGGGACCCATCCTACCTCCTATCCAGTGGTACCGGGGGGTTAAACGGCCGGGGCTTGAACCTGACCACTCAACACCAGCTTGTGCCCAAGCCAAGAATGTTGGAGCTATACCACTATTCCCACGCGTCTTAGTGGCATGGTGCTCAATTAATCAAATACAAGGGCAACGTTACCTTTGCCTTTCTACGAACATACTGTGTATGAGACACAGGGCATGCAATGAAGTAGTTTGCTGTACAACGAAAAGCACCTGAAGATGGCACTTTTGTGCTGAAACATGTACTGCAAGAGAGAAGAGTAAGGTGAATAAATGTATGCACTGTAAGACGGTTAAAATAAATCATGGACATAAATCAGTGCAACAGGACGCTAAAATATAACAATACTGTGTACAAATTATATCCAGATATAACGGAGAGCATGGTCTTAACAAACCTCCAAATGGAACATCCATGGCTGTGATATCACTCGTTCATGCTTCACAATACGCTTGTACTAACCAATAATTGATGATTTACATGGTGTATTCCGTGTGTTTACTATGGTCCTGTTACAACAAACTTCGTTTCAAGAAAGCCAACATGCTTAACACTTTGGTAGAACACTAAGCCATTTTACAATTCTAGCCAGGGATTAAATTGGAATCAGATTCACGTAGCTGGCACCGATTATTCAACATTATTATTCCTGTACTCCTTGAGCGGCCAGAAGATGGCACAGCTGAATTTCTGGCGCTAAATTTAACCTTGTGTACTGATCATTCTGGTAAATTGTACATGGCAGCGGTCACTGTGTAATAAAAGACTAAACTCGCAAGAAGTGTTTGCGGTCATCCTTTGTATGTAAACCAGCAGAAGTACCTGCTTATCATCTAGGATATGGTTTTCTTCCCTGTCAATATCATAATATGTGGTGGCATTTGCCAGTCATCTGTTCCCTGTCAACAGACTTTTGGGAAAAATTATAGATTATAAGAGAAGAAAATATACCGGACATAATTACCAAAAATCATAAGTTTTCTTAAAAGCTGTTGATCTATATCCTAAGATCTGTAAAAATAGTCTTAAATGGATGAAGCATAAGTTTTTAAGCAATTTTCCGGCTGCTCCCCCTAAGAATCTTGGTGACAACCCAATTGAGAACATCACAGTTCCTTGTCTTTAGCACTTTAATGATGGAAATGAAAAGAAAAAAAAACGTGGCTTCTCAATAAATAAATATACTATGCTGTTGACTTTAAAATAAATTAGAAATGAATCCAAAAAATATTTCTCACATCAATATTTAGGCATAATGGTCAATAAAAATGGAACTATATACATAACCAAATGAGCGTTTTTCCATTACTATACACAAGCAAAAAGATTGCAAGAAATTAAGAGTTACTTGTGTAATGAGGACTTGAACCACATCAAGAAACTTTTGCATTACCATAATATCCTCGGAGAGTCTAAAGCTGAAAATACATTCTGCATTTGTCAATGTATTTGCAAGTTTCAGCAAAACATTTTATTAGCAGAGACACTGCTGAGATTCTTTTTTTCAGAATGAATTTTCAGATTGTGATCTTTTATGTTGTGTGACACACATAAACAGGTCATGAAATCCTCTTATCTAGTGACAAGACTGACTTTTATCTACAGACGAGATATTTACTTTCTCCTGACATGACACTTTTCTATTTAAACATTTGGAAAATGGGCTACTTTCTTACACCCTGCTTCTGGTACACTACTTCTGTTCCTCTTGTGATGAAAGACAATATTATGGCCGAGAAAAGGGCCATTTTCCTGCTCACAGCACTTATTGGTCTGGATTGTTTTCCATTTCTCCTCCCACACCTATGGGTCTCAACAACAACCTTCCTTGCAATCTGCATATATTACTGATTTCTGAACTTTATTACTTCTGCCCTGAAGATGGAGGCAACATGTTCCTTCAAAGGGTTGGTATGTGCATACAAAATTGCGAAGTATTACAACCCAGGTGACCTAATCTTCTTTCTTTAGTCCTACCTTATATGGGCTGATACTCATGTGGATTTCAGATTGTGTCAGTATGCAGGAACACAGAGAAGCTGATGCAGACTCAGCAAGAATATGGAATTGAAGATGTGAATGTGTATTATCTTAATGAGGGAGAATTTGTAATGCCAGGCTTTGTTGACACACACATTCATGCACCTCAGTATCCAAATGCTGGCTTAGGCTATGACAAACAGCTGCTGGATTGGCTTACAACATACACTTTTCCTTTAGAAAAGAAGTACGTGGATGTAGATTTTGCCATTGGGGTTTACGAGTCTGTTGTGGTAAGTCAACATCACATAATGATAATTAGTTGGTATATTTTATGAACATCATAAATGTAGAATATGGTATACTTCAATGTTATGCACATTGCCTGCTTACTTGGTTTACCCTTCCACCCTGAAGATGGAGCCAATACATTCCTCCAAAATACTGGTATCCACTTACAAGACTACCCTGTGTCATAACCCAGACCACAATCTGAAGTTACTGCTGTGAAAACATAAAGTACCAGCAACATTATATCATAAAGATAAGAGTATTTACTAAAATTAACAAAATGAGGTCAGATTTATTAGACTAAGATATTATTTTTATAAAGATCTAAATTAACTGTGTACTGTTACCGACACCTTCTCTGCTTACTGCTGTACTTCCAGAGAAAAACACTGGCAAGTGGAACCACAACGGCAACGTATTTTGCAACAATCCACTATGAGAGCTCATTATTTTTGGCAGATATTGTGGAACGTCTGGGGCAACGTGCATTCATTGGAAAAGTGAATATGAACCACGGCACTCCAGAGGGATATGGGGAACATATATATGATTCATTTACCTGCACAGAGCAGTACATCAGGAATATTCAGTGCAAGAGGGTAATTAATACTTGATTTCTTATTCTAAACTAGCAATGCCCATGTGCTAATGTGCATGTCCATGGCCACTGGCCAAATGACGATTTCACCATCCCCTATAGCTGTAGCATTTGAGACCCGGGCATCTATCAACTAGTAACCTGAAAGAGAGACCTTCAAAATGAAATGTCATGTTTTACTTGTACCTTAAATTGCAAAATTTTACAATTTACAGCATTTTCTGTGTTCTATCAAAATGCATCTTCCATAGTAATGTTAATAGAGCAATGTACAGATGCATGTGTGAAAAAGATGGTTTATAACTTGAGATCTAGATTCCAACTTTAGCAAGTGGCACCATTCATGCTGCAACAATAAAAACAAGTTAACCTCATGAACGCTTATGAATTCCTGATTATGATATGCTGCACCATCTGTTAACATACTCTACAGTCAGTGTAAATGCAATCCATTGAGTGGTGCCTCCATCTGCATACCTGTGTGTACTGTTGTATCCTGCGGTTGAGGGATAAGGTTGGTCTTGGGCGAGCGGATCCCTTGGGAGGCAGAATGGGGTATACCTCTCAGCAGTTGTAATATACTCAGGTTTATTACTAACAAATGAATTACAAGAATCTTGAAAGAACGTAGAAGTGGTAATCTGCCTAAGCTAAGGGCAGTACCGACTCTTAGATGGAAATACAAGCAGCCGCAACTAATTGTCTGATCTAAAAAGCGCCCGGGGCATCAGTCCTTGGGGTTTTATACTACACTTAAGGACTCACTCCCAGATTATTACCAAATATGGTTACAGAAATGGTCACTTGGACTTCACTCCTTGCGGCTGTACTATTCATAGCGTTGTTCGCCCCTCGCTCCAAACGTGACGTAGTGTCTCGGGTCACAAGTTCAATTTATATCCGGCTGGCTGGCAGCACTTGAATGGAAGAATACAGCTTACAACAGCTCATACATACATTCTGTTAAAATAACCCAAATCATGTGCAATACCTCGGTATTTGTACCTATCCCTACAGGTAATTTAATATCATTATGCGTTAAACTATCCATCCTAGACCCCTATACAACACTACAGCTGGTGCACAGCAGACAATATATTCCTTATGTATAAGGGGCAGTCAAATGAAAACAGGTCACCACACATACCTCACACGGTGCGCAAGTTGGTAACACTGGAATTTTCTCACAGTATGAACATCTGGTGGGGACTCTGGAAAGCACAGTTACAATGTGCACTTACACACCTGTCGTTTGTTTATTGTGCTGGAAGTAAGGTTAGCACTATGTGTGGTCATCCAACATCAGTAATGGAGGTGGGTAAAGAAGAACAGTGAAGTGTGGTATGCTTCTTAACTGCTGAAGGAATAGGAGGATGAGAAATCCATCGTCGCATGTCTGTTGTTTACGGCGAACACAGCATGTCACGTTTGTGTGTGCTGGCATGGCATAAGAGATTCCGAGAGGGATGTGTGTCACTGCAAGGTGATGCTTGCCCAGGACAGGCTCATCGTGTCATCACTCCTGATGTTATTGCGGTGTTTGATGGTTGTATCCAGGCAAACGGATGGATCACTGTGGAATAAATTAGTCTTTTGATGGGTATAAGTCACGGTTCTGTAAACACCTGCTGTACCTCAAAATCTGCGAGCAGTGGCTTCCACATCAACTCCTGGAGGAACAGAAGACTCAGAGAATGGCTGCATCACTGGGTCACTTGCAACGATACCATGAGGAAGAGTATGCTTTTCTGTACCGTAGTGCCATTGGGGACAAAACTTGGTGCCACCATTTTGAACCCGAGAGCAAATGGCAGAGCCAACAGTGGAAACACGTGAATTCTCCCCCACTGAAAAAATCCAAAGCTGTACACACAAGTTCCGGGAAAGTGATGATGGCATTCTTCTTTGACTGCAAGGGCCCTCTGCTTGTNAAAGATGTGGTTCTGTAGACAGGCCACAAGCGTTTCCAAGGATGGGACTGACCGTCTTATCTCCCAGTGGGATAAATATATTAACAGTTTTGGATATTAATTTTGAGGTAAGAAATGTTCTTTAATATGTTTTGGCTTCTGACCCATTTTCATTTGACTGCCCCTCATATATTCAGGAATGTTATATGACCACTGGCAATCTCCAAAGCTAGCTTGCTAAAGCTATCCCTGTAACAGGCCATGAAGACCCATAGGGTTGTGAGATGTCGAGGCTCCCACATTTTCTCTAGAAAATTGGCTCACAGATGGCAGTGAGGTTGTTAGCCTGACACACTGGACGCTCTTTACTCCCCAGGAGGCAGTCTCTAAAATGCCTCTATATGTACACATGTGTGCAAGCATGATCATATACACAAATTTGCAGGTCTTAAAATGATCTGAATTGCTTTGAAAAGAGGGACACATTAACTTATAGACTGACACTTCCGAATTATTGTAAGCTGGTTGTTTGGATGGAAGATACATAGTGCAAGTTCACCTGTTTGATTGTTTGACAAAAATCATTGTAAACCCCAGTCCAAAGATCTGAATTTTTGTTATGACCAGAACATGATATACATGTCAATAATAAATTTGGAACATAATTTTATGAAAGGGAGGTACACTGTGACTTTATGTGGTTTTAATGAATTTCATGTTTCTGTTCTGTACACTACAGAATGAGCTTGTTCAGCCAATTATAACGCCAAGGTTTGCATTAAATTGTGACATGCAGCTCATGATGCTTCTGGGTGAACTTGCTGCTAAGTATAATGTGCACATTCAGGTGAGCACTCATTTTTATATGTACCATAATTAAGTGCTGTTGGTTACATTCTACTAATGGTAACGAGTTATATGTATTGTCACATGTCAATAGATGGCGTTTGGATTGGTAATCAGGTTTATTGGACTCTTAAATAGCTCATAACTACAAATGACCATGACAGTCTCACTGAGTGACATACTCCAAAGATCACTGTAACTACAGCACACACAAAGTCTCCTCAGTCTTCACTAGCCGTTGCTTGGTAATGGATTCCAACAGCGGATGTTCCCCTTTCTTTTGGGTTCTGTCCTCAGCATCTCATTTCTCACAATTGCAACTCTCTGCTGATTCCACCATGAATGTTCCTCTGCCTCTGTGGCTGACGTTCTCACAGGCCGGCTGCCATCTCGCACCAACCTCCTACTTTACTAGTTAGTTAGTTAGTTAGTTATTGGAGAGGTTGGGTTTCCCCATGCACTTAGACCAGTATTGGTCCATTGTTCTTCCCTCTATAATATTCTACGAGTCTCTATACCCTACCGATACTGGTGCATACCATCAGTCCCGACCGAGCCAGTGAGTTCGGCCTCTACTGGCTTGGCGGTATCTATAATGCTTCCCCCATCTATCAGAGGCGTTAAAGACTACTGTTGGGCGGGAAATGTCCTGAATTTTGCTCAGAGACCTCCTTTGGAGACATGAGGTTCTTTTACGTGCTGTAAAGCTACGACACGGGACCCATGGCTAACTGCCATTTCAAGACTGCCTGTAATGGCAGCTGGTCCTCATTATATAGCCCAAGCATGGACTGCACAGGTAACATCTCTTCCATTATTGCATGTTCTCTCATTGCCAGGGAAACATGTCCACAGAGCTGTTACCTAGCAATGGCTATTGTACTGTCACCTGTTTACACAACTGTTACTAAGTAATGGGTCTGTATTTTTGTTTTCGTTACTTCTATGTGCATCGAAGGATAAGTAAGAATCAGTGTTCAATCTAACCCTGCTTTATTGACAACTTTTGATACACAAGGGCGTTTTATATATATTCACACACATAACCATGGTAACACATAACAATAGAGAGATTCTGTTTTTACACATGTAACAGTAGTAACTCATAACAGTAGAGAAATTAGAAACAGCACATGTAGCGCAGTCTATTATTGAAAATTGTTTACTACGATGTTGTCAACTCTAGTATTATATTTTAACATTAGAGAGTTGCCAACATAACATGTATGTCACAATATGGCGTCTATCGGTGACAAATTGTGAGGGGCTCGAGGTGCTATAGTGCATGAGGAGAATGAGTTGTGCATTAAATACTTATGCACACACAAAATTGTCCATCTATTCCTTGAACCAGGGTACATCTTACCTTGTGTATGAACCTTATGGACTTGAAGTGGAATTGTGCTTGAATTTCTCACCCATGTAGGAATACTGCAAGTTTGTTGGAAACAGTGTCTTCTAACTTTCCAATGGTGATGGAAGTCAATGTCATTAACTGAAAATGACCCACCAAAGATAAAATGGAAAATCATTCTTTCTACCTAGCTTTTATCCCTTCATGTTCTCAACTTCTTCATATTGAAACACTTCCCTTATATAAATAAACGTTAAACATTCTTAGTTATAACATACAATAGCATGAAGAAGTATACATATTGTGATAAAAGCGACTTCCGTAGTCTAGGGGTAACGTTCCGACCTCATGACTCAAGGTACGCGGGTTCAAACCCGGCAGAGGTCGTGGAATTTTTAAGGGTGGAAAAATTCAGGGAACAAGTCCTCTGGGAAGGACTTTAAGCCGTGGGTCCCGTGTCGTAGATTTACCGCACGTAAAAGATCCTCATGTCTCTAAGAGACCTCTGAGTGAAATTAGGCAACAATTTCCTGCCCAAATAGTTTCCAATGCCTCTGGTAGATGGGGGAAATATCAGGTACCGATGGCCGACCTTGTTGGCTGAACGGGGCTGATAGCACGCACCAGTAAATTAAATTAAAGGGGGAGGCACAATGGACCAATAACTGGTCTAAGTGCATGGGGAAACCCACCCCCCTCTAATAATAATAATAATAATAATAATAATATTGTGATAAATGTGACAATTGCTAGGCAACAGGTTGGTATCACATGATCCTGCAGCAATGAACAAGTCCACTGCTAGCCAACGGCTCGCCAAACACACATTCCCATGACAACAGATGACAGAATGACAACTAACTGTTTGGGGTGGTGGTCTATTCGGTTTTCCTTAAGTTATAAAGGTAGGACATGTGAGAACACTGAGCAGAGTTCATTCATAGGCAAGTTGTGATTCTTCATTAGGTATCTGCAAGAGAGTAATAATTCAGTTGTAAGAGCATTCAGTGTTCTGCTGTGGAGTGTTAACCAGTGGACATTGGAAGCTGAAGAAGTGCCCGACTTGTAAATCAGAACTAAGTTGTCACACAGAAGAGAAGACGCACGTAGTCCAGTAAAGAATGGAGCAAGTTTTAGACAGATACTGCTTGTGAGCTGTTATAATTCACTGTAATTGTAAAGAAGTGCCAATAAATCCAATCATCCAATCCAGAAACCATTATTAGTAGTCATTCGTTTCTTATTCACTATTATCTGATCTCTCAGTGTAATATGATCAAAATAAACTATACATAAATGAAAGTATAAACATTTTTAAGGATACTCCTTTTTTAATTCATATGCTATAGACTCACATTTCTGAGAGCACAGGCGAAGTTGCAGCAGTACAAAAACTCTACCCTCAATGCAGAAACTATGCTGATGTGTATGACAGAGCAGGATTACTCACAAACAAGGTGATGTAATTGTTGGATTAAACAAAAATTTCCAATTGAAGCAATTTGTCCATGTTCAGTAATGAAGTCTGAAAGCTTTATTTTAATGAAGAAATGGGAACGTTGCAGACAGTGTTGGCCCACGGCATACACCTCAGTGATGATGAATTGAAAGTTCTGGCCGCTCGAGGTACATCCATCTCACACTGCCCCAACTCAAACACTTCACTCAAGAGTGGCCTCTGTGATGTTCGCAGATTGCTGGACACTGGCATCAAAGTTGGACTGGGAACGGGTAATATTTTATCATATGGTAGAACACAAATTCTGAAATTTGATGACTGCTGGCCTGTGAAATGGCAGTTAAGATTCATATTACACTCTTTAGGCTTATGATAGTGTGCAGTCTGGCATGTTGATATCAGCATTCTGCCTACATATTCAGAGTAGTAATGCCCGATTGGTGTGCTAGAAAATGCAAATATAATCTAGACAAATGTTGATTTTAAGCTCTCATTGCAATGACTGATAAGTATTGTCTTCTGGGCTGTAACACTGTCTAGCTTGGAGGCAGCCCAGCATGAAGGAACTTATCACCTCCATCTTGAAGTTGAGCTCAGCTTGCCACTTGCTTGGTTTACTCTTAGAACCTGAAGGTGGAAGCAGTATGTTCCTTCCTCTCTTGAACTACATGGCATTACAGCCCAGAAGACTGTGCTCAAGTTGCTAATTATTTAGTGTTACGGTTGTTCTGCAAACAATAATTTTAATATGAAGATTTGAGGTGCTTGTGGTGGTGACTACAAAGATTACTGTCTTATTAAATTTTGCATTTATATATCTTTAAAAGCACACAATATATTCAACCCTTAATGCAACTATTTTCACTTTTATTTCTTCTCCTCATGACATGTTTCAGCCTCAAACAACCATCATCATGTGTTTTGTCTATGCCAGTGTTCCTCAACCGCCAGGCTGCAGCCTGGTCCTGTGCCCTGGCATCAATTATATGGGAACTCGTCTTATAGAAAAAAGAATTTACCAGGCTGTTGTCTGAAAAAGGTTGAGAACCACTGGTCTATGCCAGAATCGTTGCACTGTATAAAATGTTCACTTATTTATATACTTATATATATACATACTTGCGAAGGTGATGTTTTTTGTTTAATTTACTTGATGTACACTCAATATTTATTTTCATTGATTGATATCACTTTTTAATTTAATTCTGGTTTGAAATTTCTTAAAATTATATCATTCTTGCACCTCTATTAGGGGTGTCATCCACTTGTCAAAATCATATAGCTCTATGTTCTGACTTGGTGTTCATGTGTTGCTTCTATTCATAAGCCCTTTGTGTTATTTTTTTCTATTTGTATGTTGTTCCTTTCCCTTGCATATGATGCTGTTACCTCTTGTGTGTGGACGTTTGAAAGTGTAGACACTACAGTACAAATTCAAATGTCCACATACAAGAAGTAACAATCTGCTGTCTCCATCTTCAAGGCTGAAGAGTCACTCTTCTTATTTTGAAAGCATATGATAACAGCACATTGTAGCATAAAGGAAATGTATGTCGTTCAACCTGTGTAATTTTTATGTCATTACCATCATGTAAATTTATTCTAAATATTGAAGAACCTGTACAACAGACTTCATGACTGTCTTTCTCTCTAACTGTAAAGGTCACACTATGCCATTATAAATTATAATCTTTAAGAGTGAGAACAGTATGGAAGCTTTGCTAGTAGCTGATGTTTTTTGCATCTAGATGTCTCTGGTGGCTACAGCATTTCCATCCTGAATGCTATTCGGTCTGCACTACAAACCTCAACTCATATCTTTTTTAAAAAGCACCAGGGCAGTGGCTATATTCCTTTGTCTTATCATGAAGCATTTTACCTTGCCACATTAGGGGGAGCCAAAGGTATGTGATTTAAAGCCTTACTGATACTAATACATAGAGGATTTTATCTTGAACATTCTGTTATTCAGAAAAAAGAAGATACATGGGATGAACAATTAAGAATTTCTGCAAATTTCTGCATAAGTGCAGTTGTTAAAACACCATGAACCATGGTGTGTAAGTAACTCTTCATACGTATCTAGCAGCGTATGAGTTTGTTCATGTAATAACAACTGAGTCAATTTTCTAAACACAGTGGTTCCAAAAAGCTGGTACAATGGATAAAGTCCACAACGCCTGAAAAAAACTTTGAATGACTGCAGTTCAGTTCTGGATAATAGTATTAGGATAGCTCTTTTTTTACTGACTCATTCAGCACAGACGTGATACCTGCCTATCCTAAAATTTAAAGTGTACGAAGGTTACTTCCACAGGAGTATATGTGGCTGGAATGTGAAATTAATTATTTATCATACAGTGCCAAGGTTAAAAATACATGGAGCATTACCTCCAAATTTATTTCATGGTGCTCAGATGCAAGGATATCTTTGCTCTAGCATATCAAAATTCTCTATCATTCCATAAAATCCGAATACGTTCTGAACCTCTGTAACTGTCAGCGTTAATATCTTCTACTCTTCTGAGGCTACTGGGATACTCAGTGATGATCAGTATTCTCTATGTAATACAGCAATTAAATCCTAAAACAGTAGTGTAAGGTAAAACTGTCCATGTGCTTAACGAATTAAGCACTACACCATGAAGGTGTATGGGGGAGTGGATTTATAGATTCACATTTTCCTGACCTCGGCACTAGCTGGAGATGAATGGTTAGCTTCATGCACCTGCCACTTTACCCCTGGGGAAAGAGCCCCCATAATCAATTTGACAGGAGGTCGGGTGGACCCCAGAGCCAGTCTGGATAAAGTGGAGAAGAGAAAATTCTTGTTCCTACCAGGACTCGAACTCTCTGAGTCTTCAGTCATCCAGCCTGTAGCCAGTCACTATGCTGAATAAACTATCCTGTCTCTTTGTTTTTTCCTAAACAATTAAGTAAAATAAAAAAGGTAAGAAGACAAAGTTATCCCTGTGTTTAACTAATTAAGTACCATGTCACAGAGATGCCTGGGGGACTGGAGGTACAGCTGCACCATCCATAACCTTGGCACTAGTTGGAGGTTAAGTGGCAGTTTCATGCCTTGTTTGCTTTACTTCCAGGAAAACAGGCTTCAGCACCCGCTGTATAGAAGAGTGGGTGGGCTCCAGAGGGGGGGAATCTGTCTTTGCTAGAATCAAATTTTGATTTCTTGGTAGTCCATCTGCAACCTAGCCATTGTACTGTCAGAGCTATCTTAGCTTGCCTAAAATTAATTTCATTTTTAATTTGATAGTCAGCACCTTTTAAGTTAAAATTTTTAACAATTTCAATAGAAACTAAGTGTCCAGACAAAGTCATACAACACCATCTTAAGCATTTACACACATTTCCTTGTTATTTTAACTGCTCAACTTACTTCTCACATAGGGCCACGCCATAGCTCAAGCGGTTAGTTGTTGGCTTCCCACTGCGGCGGCCTGGGTTCAATCCCGGGTCTGGTCAAGTGGGATTTGTGGTGGACAAAGTGGTGCTGGGGCAGGTTTTCTTCACGTACTTCAGTTTCCCCTGCCAATCTTCATTCCACCAATTGCTCCACAATCACCCTCACCTATCATCTGGGGCTGGTACAATAGGCCAGAAGTGGCCACAGTGCAAGGGACTTAGTCCCACCACACTAACAATAAAAAAAATAATACTTCACATCTCAAGTTGTAATCATTCATATTAATGAATTATCTAGTGGGAAATGAAAAGGATTCACATTTCAAATTAATACGAATCAAGCTTTCATCACCTGCAGCAATTTAACATTTAAAAAGCCTTTACATGTTCTGGCCACTATTGGCCATCATCAGAGTGCACAGCCAATACTACAGAGCAAACACTTACAAGTATGATTAACAAGTTATTTAAAAGGGATTCCTACAATCAGAAATTGAGAGATTAAAATATTAAAGTAATTAAGATAAATTATAAAATGATCAACAATATCAGTAAAATTAATTGAAAATTCTTATTATATGGGTATGTGATTCTGGTGGTGGCTCTATCTTCTTACTGCTGGTATGTAAAATCTCTTGCATAGCTGGCAAAATGTTTGTCTGTAATGTTGTGTGTGTTCCAGAGGGCCATGGTGGTCAGTGGAATGTGTTGTAGTTCACCTGTTAAATATTGATTGCTGCACCTGATGGACCTTCATACTTACTAGTCATTATAAACATTTCATTTGTTTGTGATCTCCTAGTAGAACAAAATATGAAGTGTAAATCAAGTGCTATCTACAAATGAACCGCAAAACATTTATTTATCCTCAATCATTCCTGCTTATTCTGTGCAATGGAGTGCCAAGTTTTGTTGCACTGAAAAATAATTTTAAGCAAAGAGGCACACTTGCTGCAAACATAATTAACAAATTCCACTGGGCAAAGTCCTTGAGACGCCAGTAGTTGCTCTGCCAGTTAAGACATTTCCATCATCTGGAACCCAAGGGTTCATTATTGTGTGCACAAAAGTCCAGCTGTTTCACTCTCCTGAGCCAGATTAATCCAGTCCACACCTTCTTATTTCTTTAAAATCCATTTTAATACTATCGTCCCACTCTACTTCAATGTTCCAAAGTGATCTCCTTCATTCAGGTTTCCCTGCCAAAACTTTATATGCATTTTTCTTCTTTCCCTTGTGTGAAAATTGCTCTCCTCAGCTCATCCTCCTTAATTTGATCATCCTAGCTAACTTAGTTATCACATTATAAAATGGCAAGAAATATACCATTAAAATTATTCTTTGTATTTCAGCTCTTTCTGTGGATGACAAGACTGGAAATTTTAAAGTGGGGAAGGATTTTGATGCTTTGATTGTTAACATGAGGAAACCTGGACCTATTGACATCCTGGACAAGACAGATATAAAGGACCTGATACAGAAGTTTCTGTACACTGGTGATGATCGCAACATCAGCAAGGTGTATGTTGCTGGGCGTCAAGTGAAATAATGTCTGGCTACTACTGAAGTACACTTTTAATTCTGGGGCAATACCTCTAACTAAGCTACAACACTTCTTACCACACCTTCCCCAATTCATTATTTACTTATGACCCTACCACTCAACATTATACAGCACTGTTAAGTAAAACATAACTAAATAAATAAGTAAAGTACAGTGTGGTCACAAATTATGCAAATCTGAAATAGCGTGATATAATAAACTCTCACTTTATGTGCAAATTTTGAAATAATGTGAATCCCAAAAAATTTGGCAACGATCAATTCCCATGAGAAAACTCGTCTTGAATTATGCAAAGTCTTCAAGAATGCATATTCGCATAAAATGAGACCACACTGTACATTATAAAATGCTGAACATTGAAAGGATGACATGGAATTTGAACAAAATGTTTCACAGGGTTCAAGTTATCATGGAGACATGAAGAAAAAAGTTATTTGTGTACAATTCAGTTTTAATAGCAAAATAATGCTATGCAAGTTTTGCATATGGTTTTTAACTTCCCCTCATTTATTCAAACTATTGTGAGAAGAAAGCTAGTGGTAGTCAATAAATATACAACTATGTATGTATACACAACAATGTAGGTACAGCTTATGTAAGTCTGTATCATAATCTGACAAATATAAGGCCTTGCACTATGTGAATGTAATTTTTTGTATGTTATATGCAATAAAGGCCACAACCCTGAGCTTCAGAAATACTCTGGTTGACTTTCCTCTGCAATTCATGGCCATAATGAGGTGATGCATAAATGGGTAAGTCTATTCTATCAAACAATGCACACATGAAAAAGCCCGTGACTCAAAAAACAGCACTGGGTGAAAAAGAAAAGAAATCAAGTGCAACGTTTCAGAATTGGCAGACAGACATGCATTGTAAGTCCAATGTAGTATGTACTACACTATGACTAACCGTGGTTTCACATGACACACAAAATCTACACTTGTGCAGCCATCAATGATGCAAAGTTGGTGTAAAGGTACTTGATAAAAGGTGAGTCAGAACCTGATATATTTTGGGTAAACATATTGTACTACTGTACTTCTTACATCAAGTGTGATTAGCAATCTTTTCACAAGAATGCTGCCATTGGAGGCACATGACTGGCCATACATGGGACAAAAACAAATTAAGCATTCCATATTAACAGTCAGCTATTCAGTCCTTGCAGCTCTGAACAAAACACCTCTATGCCCATAACAATTATGTGAGTTGTTGAAGTCTTGTACATTTTAGATTTAAGACCAGAGTTAAAAATTAAGTCTCTGTATGTGCATATGTGTGTGTGTGTGTGTGTGTGTGAAAGAACCACGAAAAAAACGTTATTCTGAACTTTCATGGACCCTGTCCTTCCTTTAAGCTGTCTGGAAGGGTAGCATACTTCATTATAAACAGTGAAGACTATAGCAATCATTCAGAATTACTGGAGTTTGTTTGTCATCTGGTATTCTAAAAACTAGAAACATAACAATTCAGAAACTTGATGTTTCCTTCCTCAGGTGAGGGGGGGAGACACATACTCTATTGGGTCCCTTAGAAAGAGCTAACCTCAATCACTGGTCCTGAGTAGGTGTCTGAATAATGGACAAAGTACAAAAACCCAGTAATTCTGAGTGTTATACAACATTGTCAGAACCCTTTAGAACCTACAGCAATAATGCTAAGCAAGTTACTTACATCAGTAACGCTTCTGGTTTATATTCATAATGTGTCGGGTTCAAATCTCAGCCAGAACACTGAGTATTCTGACTGTGGTATTTTTATGTATTCTTCAGTCCCTCCAGACAAATATCGGGATTGTACCTCAAATTTAACCATGGAAACTTCCTTTCAAATCCATTCTAACATACTTGATGACCAAACATCCTACCATTTGACACTATACAGCCTTAGCTATTGATAGCACTGTTAAAAATATTACAAATAAATAAATAAATATGGTAATTACACCACCGATAATATCAACGCTTTTGTTTTGGTAACAGCCAAATTTGTCATGACAGGTTGTATAAATATTGATTTCGTTAATAACTTACTTTCCAACTCAATTTCCTTTCCATCTGACACATATGCAGCATTTAAAATATGAAGGAGAGAAAGGAAAAAGTTCTTACCTAAGTAAAGTGCAAATGACACAGTGATGACAAAAAGGGGTTATGATATTATTTCAAGCATCCTGTTACATTCCATTTCTGTATGTATAATATAAACTCCATCATAAATGTAACACTTTATTGTAGTTCTTGTCTCCCTTCTTTCACACTACATGTTTCGGCTGCAACTGGCCATCATCAGGTGTATTTCACTTAATGTAGCTGTCACACTGCACTCAATATTAACATTTAAACTCCAGATTTCCAATTGTTCATTGCTCTGTCGTCAATTGCCACCCGATATTCCAGAACTCCCTGTCAATTATGTTTAAAAGCTTTATTAATATTCACATGTCGATTGGTTTAACATTTTAAATTCTCAATTTAGCTAGCCATCACGACAAGGACCGTAACGGATCCAGCAACATCAGAGGACGCGGAAAAACAGCGAGACCTCCAAAAAGTGAAAAGTGCAATCAATATAATAAAATTGAACTTTAATTCATGAACTTTTTAACCAATAATATAATTAAAACTAGTTAAAGTGAACTTGACGCAGTGATGAGCGTTAAGTAGGAAGTGACTGAATAGCAAGTGAAAGTGAAAGCATAACTAGTGATCTGAATTGAAATTCGATTCGCAAATTTTAAATTTTAACTTTTGACATTTAGAATAATATTTTAACTTGTGTTTTGTGAGAGGAGCTTGATATATTATTGAGCGTGGGACTGAATAAGATACAGGATCAAATAAGTGAAAAGACGAATGTCATTGCGTGTAATTATACAGCTGTGTTCGTACACCTGAGGATGACCTCTTGAGGTCGAAACATGTAGTGTAATAATAATAAAAATATGTTATGTGGTCGATAAAATTGACTCTAATATTAATTAAATACACAACAGGATGCAAGAAACAATTAAACATATCAAATACTTTATATGATGAATGATTAGGTCAGTTTTGACACAAAACTGCCAAATTTATATTTGTCAGGATAGTGGATTATTTTCATTCACGGAATGTTTCCAGCATAAAAAAGCACCCAAATTACTTGTATTGTGTGAGAAACAGGGTCCTGAATTTAGCGTAAAGGATTCATTTATTTACCAACAGCTATCTGCTGTGCTCTGCACAGCCAAATATTAGTGTATAACATCAGCAGAAGATTTCAATCAGAAACCGACAAAGACATCATGATGTGCCTGTGCTCGTACAAGGTTCCTGTATGCTTGGGGAAGATATGAATGAAGAAGTATATATATCAGAATACCAAGAAACCAGATAAGATTGGAAACCACTACTTGACAGCTTCCTCTAGGAAAGGGTACACTTAAAATGAAAGCCCACATACATATGACTTTCTTATTCAAGAATGATGAAAATTCTCTTTTACCTCCTGGGACAACAGAAAAAGTTGTAATGAAAAACTCAAGCATCGAGCTATAAGCACAAAACATTCACCTTCTTTCCCCCTCACCAAAAAAGTGAACTATCTATAGTAAACAGCAAACTGAAAATATTAATAAAGAATCCCATCCATATGATAATATAGAAATATTTAAGCAAGATTAAAACCATGGCTAATTTTGCTACTGACAATTTACATCATGAGAAGAATATTCACACAAAAAGGAATGGAAACAAACAAATTAGAGTAACACATGTGTTGCAGCATACTTGGTACTGAGTGGCTGAAGCTATATGCAGGATACTCTATCACAACACCATCGACAAGTTCCATAACAAGTTCCTTTTAACTTAAATTATATAACATATTCCTATAAAAACTAATTTCACAATTACACAAGCTGCAACCATTATACACATACCTGGCTATATGAGGTCTCATTCTGAATTTCACAAACAGATTTTGTTTTCAACTTCTACACAAAGTAAATGTGATTTCAATATGAATGAAACAAGCAAATATAATTTAATGTAACTCCTTATGCAAGCTGGACTTGCAACAAAGATTTTGTTTTAACTACTGTAATCATAACTCAATCACAAAGGAATGGTTCTTAGTACTGCCTGAATTATAAGATACAACAGCTGCATACTCAATAATGGTAATGGACTAATAAACACTACTTATTAATTATACCTCCATTATATTTAATGTCACATTTGAAAGCACACTTTATCAGAAGTCTAAGAATCACAATATATATCCATAACATCCCACGTACATCTCTAAACTCATTTACTTGCTGAACTTGGAACAACAGTGTTTGTATTTTTGTGGTATTAATGCATAAAATTCTGTGCTGAATCTCAGAGTAATGATTTTCTGGAAGTTGAAGATATTATCCTACAAGTGTCAAGTGTTGACAATGTTCAATCTTTATAAAAATTGGTATATCTAACAGCAAGTGAAATCTGTTGGCATTTTATTTTAAGTACACAGTTACACTTGGAAGAAGTTTCTTTTCTGCCATATTTGAAGTTCTTAGAGAGTGTTTATATATACTGTTCACTCAATAATTCTGCTGTGCTCTGATTCAGCACTCTGGGAAGTAAATAGGCATAAAAGACATTACTTACAAATTATACCTGCATCATATGTAAAGCAAGGATGTTTTTATAAAGCTTAATAATTTATCACAAATCCAAGAGTCAGATTATATAGCAATGACACTAAAAGTAGGTTTCTAAAACCCAATAATTCAAGTATCTCTACAAGTAGTTGTAACATATTAACATAATTAACATATGCAGGTTAATCAAATAACATCAGTATCAAAATAAATTCATACAGCAATAAGAAAGCCCACAACTGAGAATATGATAAGGCATTATACCTACATTTACATTTTGAGGCTATTATCAACTACTGTAGTGTACTATCTTTTGGAATGAGGTGCTATGTAGTCTGGTGGAAGTTCACTGATGCTTTGGAGGCAAATACTGCCTTCATCTTCAGCGTAAAAGAGTACACCACACAAGGAACCAATAAGCAGCACACAGATTCCTGCTCCATGTTTGCTAGGCTATAGCTTTGAACTGAAAATGGAGTGAGCACATTTCTCTAAAACATCCATAAACTTCTAGCAGACCACATGGTGTTACCAACCCAGAAGACAGTGCATTTCACAGTCACTACTATTGGAACTTCAAATTCAACATCAGGTACTGAGGTCATCATGGATATTTTCCTCAACAGTTGTTTAGTAAATGATGATGTTCATTGGGTATCACACAGACATGGAATTCAATTAAACAGAACCAAATTCTATTGGAGTTACATAATTCAAAACTGTCCATGTCAGTGAAATATTGTTTCAAGGAACATTAACTCATACACAACATCTCTCAATGATATTCATTATGTCTCATAAACATTAACCAACCAGAACAATCAACATTTTTTCAAGAATATGTAAAATATATTCTCTTTTACAAAACCAAAAACAAAGTTACTATATGAATGTCACATTATAGACAAAATGGGTATGGCCAGTGAAGAAATCAACACTGATTCCTGATCACCAATATGCACATCTTGGCTCATAATGACCAAGCAATCATATTTCCATGTCATTAATACAGAACAACATAATAAGCACATTCCTTATTGGCATGAATACCTAGAGCAGACCGCATGGAAATGCTATGAGAACAATGGCCAAAATTCATCATCAAACTAAACATGCCATTTCCCAGTATCTTGGTGTTCATATTTCAATGAAGAATTTCAACACAAGTAAGAGCACCTTGTTGAGGCAAAAATATTGAAACAATTGTTGCTATAAGCTGCTTTGAGTGTCATGCCATTTAAGTGTTATAACATCGCCTGGAAGAGTCCATAGATAATATTCTAAGACAAAGGCTTCCTTACCAGCTGTGTATGTTTCACTTAGAACACAACTTTATGAAGCACTGAGAAACTGTGTTCACAGTCTGAAACACATTCTTACAATATGTTACATCTTCCTTAGCTCCAGCATTTTATTCACCAACCACTACAAGAGAAAGGACATTTATCATTTCAGTAGGTAAAATATAAAATGTAAGGTACAACGTCTAGACTTCCTGAAAATATAACACGTTGCCAACAAAACTGGGAGAAAGATGATAGAATATCTAAACACATATTGCTGGGCTGTATGCCATATGCTCTTTGCTTCTTCACAGTGACTTGCAAGAATATAATTTTTCATGAAGTAAACATCATAGATATGCATGCTTAGTTTCTACCCTGAAGATGGCAGCAACAGGTTCCTCAAAAGTGTTGGTAACCACCTAGAAGACTACACAGTGTCGTACCCCATTAGGCCAAAATACAAATTTTCTTTTCCATGAAAAACTCAAATCTCTAACGACTTCAGATTTAGCTCTAAGTGAAGGACACTTGAAATACACATGCTGCCTTGAAGAGCTGGATTATAAACACCTAGGCATCACATTTACCTTGCACACATGAGCAACTGCATGCACACTTTTTTTAATTCACTGCACCAATCTTTACTCTTTACTTATTTGAAAAATCTTGCTCCCCTGAAGGATCCATAAATACAAGTGTTAAGTAACTTTTCATACTAATGGCAATGTATAGGCTTTGAATCCTGATTTGTTTCCTTGTAACAGGTGGAAGACTAAACACGAGTGGTTTAGACCACTATTGGCTGAGAGACAGTATTTAAATATGAGTCTTATAGCAAATTGTGCTACAGAGGGTTACATAACTGGGCTAGAACAAAGTGTAAATATGGATGCAGTGCATGCATGAATAATATTTCTGGTTTTGATATGCAGTGCATGTCCTGACCCTGAAGCATGTCAGCAGAAACTGCCAGTCAGGAGGAGTTTTGTAGTTCACATGAGACAGTATGATGTACAATGACATTAGTACATTTGATTTGTTTCATTCTGGTCCGTCACACTAATAATATTATGAAAAAGTTAAATAGTACTGTCCAGTCACACTGGATGGAACTATTTAACTTTTCCATAATCATTAGTACATGTTACTAGTAACTGCAGTTGCTGTTTGTGGGATCTGAAGGCATGAATATTTCAGCCCATGATTTTGTGTTTGAGAAGCAGGCAAAATAAAGAGAGAAACTAAAATAAACAAAGTGCGGTTCTCACAGTGGTGACTAGAAAGGGATGGGATGAAACATCGTATAGTCTGGTAGAAAGTTTCAGAGGAATGTATGACTCCATCTTTGACACTTGAGGACAAAGGCAGTACATTCCCCAGAACACTGGTAAATTTTTGGCAGGCTGCATAGTGTCCCATCCAAGAATACAGCACTCTTCAAGACAATGTGTTCCTAGTTACATTAACCTACTTGTAATTTCTGTATATTTCCTATGCTGTGCACAAATCTACATACCTTTAATGCTCACATGTGTGACCAACAGCCAAATGCAACTTATATATTGTGGAGTTACAAAACTTCTCAGCAAATGAATTCAGAAATGCCTAAGCCATGCAAAAAATAAAGATGTAAGAAAATATAAAATGTAGATCATGAAATGAATTTCTCACATGCAGATGCTGTCATGTTAAACAAGGAATTGTGAGTCATTTCAATAGACTCAACTTGTTTGATGATATTTGCTTCTTACGTGTGAGGAATTCTTCTTTGTGCAGCAAATTCCTGTTAGCAACTGAAACAAGAAATGACATGAGACAAAAACAAGACCACTGACCTCTTTCTGATCTTTTCCTTGAATCAGAATCACCTTGCCAGACTCCCCATGGCCAAAGAGACCCAGCACTTTCTTCTTATGTTCTCCAGTAGACAAGAAGATGCCTTTGTCCACAATTCGAGGTGGTGCACTCAGAGATTCCCAGGTGTAGTCCCAGTCCACCTGCACAAAAATTAAATATGGGTGTGAGAAGGAAAGGAACGATACCACAAGAAATCTGGAGGATGCTGGAAATTTGGTATTCTCATCAAAAATTACTGGTTCCAGTCCCACTGACATGGTCTACTGTCTCCATAACCTTTGCACTAACCATTTATTCTACACAATGCAAGATATATAGTCAGAACTATTATTTTGCTGGATTTGAGGTTCTCAAAACTCTATAAATATGAGGGGCGTTCCGTATATAATGCCTCCTATTTTTTTGTGTTAATATGTAACATTTGAGCTGGGTGTTGGTGGTGTTGTAGTAAAAGTTGAACCTTCCCACCAAGGTACTGACAGTTTGGTTGTCATGCGACAGAGAGCGACAGCAGAGCAGTCTACCAAAATGGCGTCTGACATAGAGGTGTGTACAAAACAGAGATGTGTTATTAAATTTCTCACTGCTGAACAAACTGCATCAACTGACATCCATGGATGCTTGCTATAGGTGTACAGAGACGATACAGTGGATGTCAGCACAGTGAGGCGGTGGGAAGTGTGTTTCAACAGTGGTGAAAGTGAAGTGCACGAAAAGCCACATCCTGGGCATCCCTTCTTAGCTGCCACTCCTCACAAAGAACAGCACCTCGATCAGCTCATCTGTACAGATCAGCAGATAACGACCGGGGAACTGTGTGTACAGCTTAATATCAGCTGTAATGCATTGGAAACAATTTTGGGGAATCTGGATTATTGCAAAGTTTGTTCCAGGTGGGTCCCACGGATGTTTACTCAGGACCACAAAACTCATTGAATGGAAGTCTGTCAGGACCTGCTGCACCAGTTTGAGTCTGAAGGTGACAGGTTTCTGAACAGCAACATCACCGGAGATTAGACATGGTGTCACCACTACGAGCCGGAATCCAAAAGAGAGTCCATGGAGTGGCGACAACCAGATTCCCCAAGAAAGAAGAAGTTGAAGACACAGCCATCGGCAGGGAAAGTGATGTGCACGGTCTTTTGGGATAGGCGGGGGGCGACTTTATTGGATTTCCTGGAGCCTGGGGGGACTGTCAATTCTGAATGCTACAAGACAATGCTGACTAAGCTGAATGCCCACATC